CCACTTCTTCATGTCTTTTCTACTTAAACATGTGTCCCCTCTGTGTAAAGAGATTCTGAAAGTTTCAGGAAAAAAAAATTGCTCACTTTTTGTCCTGATCCATTTATATAAAAACCTGTCTGAAAATGAGCTGATCAGATTTTGGCCACTTTATGATGTCATAACGATTTTGTGGGTTACCATTAGACAATAACCAACCAAGGTAACACACCCCCCCCCCCCCCACACCTTATCACCTGAATCTCCTCCTAGAGCACCATTGTGTTCTTTGTAACCAAATATCTCTCAGAGGGGCGTGGGGAGGGGCTCCTTATTTTCATCTAAAGTAACAGACAGAGAATCAGCACTTTTGAAACAGGGCTTTATGGGATGCTGCAATGATCTGTTTGGTATAATATATTGATGAAAAACAGTACAATAGGGGACCTTTAAGGGGTACAAAAATATGGTGAAAATGCCTGTTGTTGTGACTGTCTGTGTCTCTGTGCAGGTACGACTACGACGACCCCTCAGACGGTCTTGAGCCCCTCGACATGTCGTGGCACGAGGAGGAGCAGGCGTCTCTGCGGCAGTCCCTGCGCAGCCTCCAGACTCAGTTCGCCGGTGAGCGCGCACGCAGGGAGCAGTCGGAGCGCGAGGCCGAGCTGCTGGCCGGGGAGAACGCAACGCTGGAGCATCAGCTGGCAGGGATGGAGGGCTGCAAGGTGTGTGTGTGGAACATATGTTCATCTCTTCACACTTAACACATACACAAACAACACGTCTGCAGAACGACGTGTGATTTTGTCAGTCTGGGGTCCTAATGTTTGGTTTCAAAGTCCCCAATCCTTGAGGAAATAAAATGTATAATACTCTTTAGATCCCGGCACTAGTGGCACTAGTTATAATTTGAAAAAAGTCAGTACAATTGGGCTGGAATCCTTATCTTACTTTTGATGGCGACTTCAATGTAACTCTACCTGGATTTAATACTATCAGATTAAAGGGTTATTCTGCAATGACGTATCAGGACTATTGTAGAGTTCTTTTGTTAGTTAAGGAGCCAGTGGAGTGGAATCTTTTTAGAAGAAAGACAACTTTTATCAAGGAACCACAGCGCTTCACTTTACACCTTACATTTGACAAACCTAATCTTTTACCAAACTTTAAGACTTTAATCTCAGAAATCAGTTTGTTTTTTCTGGATGTTCTCCTCTCCGCTTCGTATTTCTCTTCTTTTTTATTTTACCTACAATGGCCTAACACAGCCATATAATTCAATATCTTGCTGCTGCACTGCTCTTTGTTTTGTCGTCTTATTTTCACAAGGACACTTTAACATTAGTGTCACTGACTCAATCTTAGTCTTTTGAAACAACACGTCATCATCTCTCTTTCCTCTCTCTGTTCCAGACCAGAGTAACCGAGCTGGAGCGTGAGGCGGAGGAGCTCCGTCATCTCTGGAAATCAGATTCCTCTACGAGATCCAGCCGGCCGGACAACATCCACAGCCTGCTGCCCAACTCCATGTTCCTGAACCCGGAGGAGGAGAGCGAGGAGGGGGCCGCTGCAGCCAAGAGCCCCTGGGCGCTGAAGTCCTGGGACAGCGAGCGGCTGGCGAGGACCCCGCAGACCCCCCACAGGGTGAACGACCACGAGTGCTCCTGCGTGCGCCGAGCAGAGGTGGTGAAGTACCGCGGCATCTCGCTGCTCAACGAGGTGGACGCGCAGTACAGTGCCTTGCAGGTGAAGTACGACGAGCTGCTGAGACGCTGCCAACCGGGGCAGCAGGAGGAAGAGGAAGAGGAGGAGGAGGGGGAAGAGATGGAGGAGGAGGATGGACAGACGAATCAGTCCGTCCAGACTGCATGTCTTTCTGCTGCTTGTCCCTCTCTCACAGACTTTAAAGATGACTTTAATCAGCCCGAGTACAAGGAACTTTTTAGGGAAATCTTCTCTCGAATTCAAAAAACCAAAGAGGACCTGATTGAGAACAGAGGGAGAGCCTCGGCGGGTGAAGGGCTGCCTAATTTGCATAATTAGCTTCTCGTAAAAAAAATATTTAATGATTGTCTTCCAGATATAGACTCTTAGAGTAGCAAGTGAAGCTAATGAAATCTACACTTTACTGTATGTTTTTTGCCCAGAAATGGCGGTTGCCATGCAAAGCGGGTGAAGATGAGTGATGCAGGAACAGGAAGGCCGAACATCACCAGCTCTGTGGCTCATCAGCACACAAACACCAGTGCCTGCCGTCCCCACTGTGCACTCACTCTACCTCACTTTGCAAAAACAAGCTCCAGAGGAAATCGTTTCTGGGTCTTATTTTCATTAACACTTTATTCTACAGGGTCCCATCATTTCTTAAAGTTAGCTAGAAAGATGTAAAATCACACAAAGGTTCCTGGAAAAGACTTAAATATGTTATTCTAAGCTAATTATAGAGAAACTGGAGATGACAAGTTGAAAAAAAAGTGTATATGTATACATATATAACTGATTAATTTGTAGTTTTATTAAATTAATTGTTTAGTATATAGCCCATAACAAGTTCCCAAAGAACAATATGACGTCAACAAACGACTTTTGTCTAAGGAACAGTTCGATATCCAAAACATACATTAAATTAGCTTGATAGAAGTAGAAAAACCAGCCAGTATTCACCTTTCAGGAGCTGGAATCAGTGTCTGTAAACGTTTGTTGCTTAAAGAAGAATCACAGATGCTCTAAATTGTTGCCGATTTATCTTGTTTTGAAGAGCTAATTAACCAGTAGTTTCATCTCTAATTGCTATTGCGTATTTTTGTATTTGAAATCAGTGAATTCTATTGTTTATTATTTTACACATGGTCTTAAAATAGTGAAGGTGTGAGCCAGACAACTTGATGGTGAGCAGAATTTCATCATCACTACATCCAACATTGGCCCTGTTCAGACCCGGCATTAACATGTGACATCGTTTTTACCTTAACATTTGATACATTATAATAACAAGAACATTCTTTTGAATTATTAACTCAGTTGAACTTGAATATTTCCCATAACTCTCCCAGTGATTAGTCCAACATTAAACGGCTCTTTTTCAGGAACCTCGTAGAAAATGATCATAAAGATAACAGATCCATGGCTTCAAATGTTGTCGCTGTATCCGCCATTTGATTTGTTTACTTTGCTCCTGCTATCAATTGTGAAGTTTCTTTATTTTTCTTTACAACAAAAAAAAGAGAGAAAATAAGGTACCTTTCTTGGTGAGTTTTGCCTGAGAGACCACAGCAAGTTGTTGATTTGGTGAAGGAGTTTATTATATTAGAAGTTGGTGATTCAAGGTCAAATATATAGGGATCTTTTGTAAGGTAACATTTATTTCTTTAAATTATACTTGATACTTGTACAATAGGTGAAGAGACTGTGATTGAATGTATTATTAAAGGGAAGTTCTGAGGTTTACCAAAAGACTAACTCGATGTACTGGACAATGTAACGGCCTCCTAGAATGTTGTTTATCACGGAAACGTGTTTTGATTTAGAGGGGTTTCTCAGCAGCACTGTTCTTTTGCTTTTTTCCTTGTTAAGTTCACACTTTGTATAAAATCACATTGAGATGCACTTTAGAAATTGCACATCATTATTGTTCTGTCACTTTACATGTCTTTCATATGTAGTTATAAACAAGCGTGCTGAATAATCTGCAGTATGTATGTACGATGTGTTTTTACCTGTTTCATGAGTGGACCTTGTGGTTTATGTCAGAGCCATAAAACATGAAGCAAGCGCCACATCTGTGTCCTTATTACTGCTGTTACTGTGTTGTAAAATATGATAACATGTTACTCAGAGATTGATGAACTCAAACATATACGTATTTTATCAGCCTGGAAATAAAACCTGAAATATCATTAGCAGTGGGAACAGGTGTTGCGGTGGCAGCACAAAAATTAGAGCAAACATTAAAAAAACAAGGAAATGTGTTCTTATGTCAGTATTTGAAACCAACTATTTGAACAAGGTAAGGCTTTAACCCTTAAATTGTTTCATTAGCCTGGGCGATACAGTCATGTGACAGGCTGTGTAAAATGGGTGGAATAACCATTTTATTACGGTGCAATATGGGTCTAATGTAATATAGGTGTAATAATGGTATAATGTGGGTGTAATACGGGTGTAACATTATTGTAATAGGGGGGTGTTAGTGTGTAATCACGGTGTCATTTAGATGTTACATGGGTGCAATGTAGAAAATAGCAATCAATTAATTGATTGTCCATTTAAGGGTTAAGAACATTAAAGGTAGGGTAGGTAAGTTTGAGAAACCGGCTCGAGATCGCTTGAATTTGAAAATACACAACCGGAGAAAATCTGCCACTTCCTTACAGAGCCCCTCCTCCAACACACACGAACGCGCACATGACCAATGAGGGCACGAGATAAGTTTGTGCACAGATGGAAGGCTGACAGGCAGGTAGGCCATCCAGTTATTTTAGCCGGGCCGGCTCACCAATTAAAGGTCTGACATGTAAAGGTTACTAACCCTTAACATATCAATAATAACTAATAATGACAAAAGAAAACGTCACCCGTTGGCATTATCAGCGTTTATTGAGCAAAGTAATAAACTAATGAAAAAAGAATACAGCGGTCGTTATCTGATGATGTCCTGATGTCCTACATTTCCTCTCTTAGGAAGTTTAAAAGCATCATTGTTCCTGTTCCTCTCTGAATGAATGGGTGGGAATTCGTCTTGTGAGGCACTTATAGCAGCACACGGCGATACACCAGTGTATCCATAGCAACAACAACTCCCAAATCACTCCAAAATGGCGGTCCAGTGTTTGAACCGGACCACGAGCCACTCTCTCGTCACATCCCTTGCACTTTGTTCATACAAATGGATTCAATCACGACAGATTTCTGATCAACATTACCGGGAAAAAAAATTCAAAGTTGCATCCTTATTGGCCGTCATCAAATCATAAAAGGAAAACCAAACTCTGCACATTCAACCAAAAACAAACCTCATCATCAGCCATTTAATCCACTTTCTCCGATTTTATTGTTCAGTACACATTCCACTGCATAATACAGACATGTGTGAAAGCCACATTTCATGCGGCAGTTTCCAGCTCCATGATTGCCAACGATATTAAGAGATTTCTGCTGTATCTCATTATGCATAATAACATTGTGACTTTTTGCTTGTTTCTGCATCATTTTCTTTTCACTTATTGTTTCAGGACTCCTGAATTTGGCACAGTTTCTTCAAGTGCCTTCACATGTTTTACTTAGAATACCTTAATTAAATACCATACTCCTATTAGAGATAATGTTCTAAGTTAATAGTTGAAAAGTAAATACGGTTTTCTTCCCTCGAGGGCTTCAACATTTTTTTTTATGATATGAGAAAGTATATTGTGTTTTTTCGGGCAAAATATAGAAATCAGGAGATAAATGAAAGCACTCTGATCCCCTTCGCTTTCAATAGTAAACTGATCTTTAAAAGTTTAATTAAAAAATAATCAAACATGAGGTCCAACAAATCCAAAAATCTACCGATAAACCTTATATATTCCTTGTATATAGCCATATACCCCCCTCAGACACTCAGCTCTTGTGAGTTCCTTTCCTTCGCGCTGCATCAGATTGCTTGTGTCAGTCAGAAATGCTTCAGTTGAAATGAAATAAACTTCATGTTCTGAGCAGACGGCCGACGTCTTTTTGTCCTCCACTCGCCCGCCCTCAGAGCAGGGCGAGCTGTGATTGTGATTGGCTCTCGTCTCTCTGGCTGCCCTCCCACTAGACAACCTGGAGAGGATTTGATTGGCTGACAGGGGACTGCAGGCTCTCAGTGTCAGGACGGAACCGTTCCCTTGAGGTACCACATCCCCGCATGGCTGATGCAGCACTCCTGGAACCACAGACAGGTACCATCAGTGAAGAAGAAGAGACGTAAGCTCTGTGATATAATGTCAGTTAGGATATTCTTGTCCTTAAGGATCTGAGTAATTGTATTTTAGCTGCACAGTTTACTATTGACTTATTAAAAGGAGCTGAGGTTGAACTTTCAAAATTAGAAGGAAACAAAAAAAGAAAACGTCCACCCTTGTTCAAATGTATTCCATACCCATTAACAAGGCTACAAATGAAAAGCAAAAATGGTCCCCAGTGATGCATACTGGTTAAAAAGTAATCTATTCAGTGATTACTCACATTTAGCATCCGGTCGATGTCCGCCTTACAGGCGTCTCCTAACTCCTGTGTGAGTTTGGCTTGAATCATAGTCCTCCTGATGCGGTAGTTCTTGTTGAACAGTTCATACAGCAGGCGGCGTTGCTGCAGGAAGAAAGAAAGATTTAATAAAAAGGGAAAGATGTCAACATTACACTTATTTACTTTCTAATAGACAGATAATGAGATCAATACATCTCAAAGAAGAAGAATTAGCTTAGCACAAAGAGTACACCAGGGCAAACTGCTAGCCTCTGTCCAGTGATAACAAACACACCAACCACCACCCCTAAATCGCTCATTATTCTTTCTATAATGCTTGTGTAATCTGTACTAATTTTGAAGTGTTTTTGAATCTCATGTAAGCTGTTGAGTCCAGCCCAGAAAAACAAAAGCCATATTCATCACTGTAAAAACCACAGCTTTTCTGTTTTTACACAACACAGAAAGAAGACTTAAGGATTGAGTTAGTGAGCTTTAGAGCTGCCGCTGTGTGGAGTTTGCTTCCTTGGACAAATAAGAGAGGCGTTGATCTTCAGATTTAACTCTGGACAGGAGAGCGTGTGGTACTTTCACTTTAAGGCAACAAGAGTCACCTCTCATGTCGGGGAACTTAACAAAGGAAGTGTAGTGCAGCCATTTGCAGCTAAATACCACAAAGTGTCAACAGTTCTACTTCTCTCTTCTGTGTGGCGTTGCAGTAATGACTCTCGCAGGTCATGGCTCACACAGACAGTGCATGTGGTTTCTGAAGTTTCATGGGAAATTTCAGAGAACTTGTGGCTTGTGCTGCAGAATGTGCATGCAGAGACAAGATGCAAAACGGATGTAGACTTGCTATAAACCTGTGAAATAGTTTACCTTGTCAAACTCCTCTCCAGTCTCCCACAAACCAAACACCTTCTGCTCATCAGTGGCTGCTGTGGTCTGAGCAGGAAACTGAAAACAGAGGGAAGCAGAAGTTAGAGAAGCATTTCAACAGGTTATCAGTTCATATCTCTAGTTCAAGTTAACTTGAACTAGTGTGTGTATAAGAAAGTGTGTGTATAAGAAAAGTATAAAGCATGCTTGTTCTTTAAAACCTTGATTCAAATGTACAAGTCACCATTTTATGCAACATTTAGGAATTGACAGCAATGCTTACTATTCTCTCGGACACTTAATTTATAGGACTGACACTTTCTGGCTGATTTGTCAATATGCTATTAGTGAGGGAAACTTCTGAAGCAATTGGAAACAGGACTCGGAGAGACACGAGGAGAGCTGGAGCTTTGATGGCAAACACTGACGGTTTATTTGGAGCTTCGGCCGGAGAATTCACAAGACATGTCACGAGCCACGAGTTGACACAGGTTGAGATGCCAAATCAATTCTGAGGGTTCTCCTCTCTGGTAGGGGGTTTTAACTAGTTTGCTGAGGGTAATCAACATTCTTCAATAGATTCTTAAACAGCTGAAGAAACTGAATCAACTTTAGTTGTCGCTTATGGCTCGGGGTCATCTACACCCCGAGAAGGATGTGTTCCAGGTGTCCCACAACAATAACTATCTCTGACTGAGAGTTGCCCGGTCATAAACTGGTAACAACAACTAAATGCCAGGGCAGCCCCTCCTTAAGGGGGATAGCGGCTGTCCAAGGCTGGGCATCTGCGTCCGAGGGCGAAGGAGGACATGCAGGGCAAATTATTCCCCGACACTATTGTATGACCAAATCATAATTTGTCAGACAACAGCTAGTTTTACTTTTCTAAGTGTTCTAAGTGGTTAAAGTCCCCTACGTGTGCCGTTTTGGTTTCAAGACCCTGGTTTGCGAGGATACCCAAAAAGTCCTAGAAAGACAAGGTAAACTTAACTAATGTGCATTTAAAAAAAAAAGAGGAATAGTTTTGGCAAAAACTGAAAGGTACCATGGGGTCAGATTAGAATTTTCCAAAGGGGGGTTCGTTTAGCATGAAACACTTGAAATAACTAAAGGATCAGTTTAAAAAGAAAGTAGAAAGGCAGTGAGGTCATAGAAAACTATTTCTGCTAAAAAGTTAGCAATGATTGAGAGTCAGAGCTAAACATTTCAGATGTGTGTATCTCACACTGCACTGTAACTTTTATTCATGTACCTTTGTTATTCATGTTTTATTATCTCTGCTTTTAAATGAGTGTTTTTAAATGCCCTTTTATAATGTTTTTCTTAATGCTGTTAATGTCATTTCATTTTTGTAAAGCACTTTGAATTGCCTTGTGTTGAAAAGTGCTATATAAATAAACTTGCCTTGCCTTGCCTTGCCTTGCCTTGCCTTGCCTAAGGAAAGAAGCGCTCCTAAATGTATTATTTTCAGGGCGCAGAAGGGCTGTATGTCTCATGCTTTAGTCGTGACAATTGTGCTCTTCCAAAGCATAAGGTTGGCAGTTTGCAGGTTGGGTCTGGATTGTTTAAAGATGGTTTATTGACGCATATGTTTGCAGATTAGCTCAGAACAGGTTGGGTGGCTGTGGCATTGGTTTACCTGTCCAACACTTCTCCATAGGCTCTGAATGAAAACATACCAGAAACTGCGTATTTCAATGTGTTTGGGCTAGTAAATACTTAGATAAAGTATAATTTAAAAAATATATATAATTAAAATATAATACGATTTTAAATTTAAAAGAATAAAACAATTAAATAGGCTGTTTTGGTAGACCGTCTGTTCATTTGTTCTGTTCATATGCCGAGGCTAAAACATGGCGAGCACTGCTGCGACCAGGAGGACCAACACTGAGGAGGATTATCGAGCAGACTCAAAACTGATCTGTGAACTGTCAGACATCTCAAACAGCAATGTTGTCTGTGATGTAGAAGGCTGAGTCAGCTGATTGCAGATCTGCCTCCGTTTGTAAACAACTAAACGACTAAGTCCCTCGCTGAGCAGTAATGAGCTTTGCTTTGGGACCAATAATCTGTTGCATAACAAAGACGGCATCAGGCCAGTCCCTCCCTATGGTGGTTAGAATCCTCCACATGAAGGGCTCAGATTGGATAAGAGCTAAGCCGGGACAGGGCTGGTCCTGGCAGGAGATCTGGCTGCTTATGAAACACGCCCTGCAAACGCCACACACAGTAAAAACAGCTACAAAAACAGAGTGAGCAGATGACATCCTTCTATATGAAGCCTACACACTGCTCCCTCAGTCCCACACAGAGAGACCCACACACTGAGGTATCAGGTGGCTGCTGGAAGCTGAGTGGAACCTGAGAAGCAGCCCTGCGTTGCTTCAGTGCCTCAACACAAGAAAACGACCGTTAATGTCGTTATTCTGTTATTCTAAACTGATAGCTGCATTGAAGCTGAGAAAGCCCCTTATTCAGCAAGCAGGCAGTCCTTACTGGACAGAAGAGTAGCAGCAGCTCTCAGTACAACACAAAGGTGGAGTAATCTAAGCACTTCTAAAGCTGACGTGCAGAGGAACACTCAGGTCTGTTTTCCCTCCCGGCATGGCCTTTGACACGAGCCAAAATTAACAGAAAGATAATGAATTCACTTATGAAAAAGCTGCCAATTCATCTTCGGTAGATAAACAAATTATACTTATAAAGTTATACTATACGGTTATATTATAAAGTGAATTCATTTTTGTCCAATCATCTAATGGGTTTATCACTAATGACTTGACACACTTTTTAATTTTGAAGATAGAAAGTACATTTTATGTGAAGTGTATTCATTTTAGCACGCGTGTATGAAATATGTTGTGATATCATATATGATAATGTTGTCATTGAAATTGTATATGCTGTATTTTGTGTTGACCTGCCCAGGGACTAGATGGAAATTAGCAAACTGCTATAATCTGGTACAAAGCATCTTATCTCTTTGAGATTTATGCACTTTCTGTACGTGGTCCCTGACAACTAAAACAATTAACTAAACTAATGAGCAAGGGTCGATCTGGAAAGAAAAGGTGCTGCCATTGAAGTTGAAAGCAATATAACTGATGTTTTGACCCATGATGATCCTTCAAGCTGGAATTCTAGATTCATATTTCCTCAATTTTGCGAATTGCTCACATTAGTGCAGCAGCCCCTTGCAGTGTTTTCACAGACAGTTTGTCTATACACTGACACTGAAGAGTATGCACAGGGAACACATATTGAGAAAGGGAAGAATGAATAGGAGCCTCCAGCGTGAATGACTTGGAGTTTTAGATCCAAAAGTGTAAATCCTGAGTTACGACAGTAGAGATCCTGGCTGAATACTCACAGGCACCATTATCTGTTTGCACTGGCAGAGCAGTATGGCGTCCTGCAGCATGTGGTCCGAGATGGAGGGGTAGATGCTGTGTCCCGACGGCATGGAGGCGATGTGGAGGCCAAACAGCCTCTTGAACTCGTTCAGTGTCAGTACAAAATGCTTCTTGAAAGTCTTTTTCACAAAGTCCTTCAGCTCCACAGACGGCGCGTTGGCCGGACTCCCCGTGTTACCATTAGTGTGGTCGAAGGCGGGGGAGGTGGCGCTGGGGTAGCCGTTCACAGAGCCGTTGATGGCGGAGGAGGAAGAGGAGGTGTCCATGGGTTCGTCTTCCCTGTCGCTGACCGGTTCCTGTTTGACCTGGACGCTGCTTTCTGACCGTCTCGTGTCCCGGTCCTTCTGCATGGACGACTTGTTTCCCTGAGCGCGGTCCTGAGCCTTCTTCAGACGCTGCTCCCCGGTCACATGGACGGGATCTGGAAAATAACACCAGGGACGTCAGGAGGTAAGATCATTTGTGCAGAATGGGTCATTTCTTGTGTGTTTACAGGGGTTAGAACAATGACTGAGTACACACCAGGCTGAGGGGAGTTCTTTGGCATGAAGTCTTCCTTGGAGAAGTTGAACACTTTTTCCAACCTTAGAAGGGAAGGACGAGAGATTGGTACAAATTAAACACAGTCCACAACTCATCAAGAACAACTTTGAATGCATACTGATGTTTGCTCAGCTTGTTTCTCAGGTACTTAAAATCCACCTGACGAGGACCTTATATATCCTCATAAAATCCTTATATTATTAATTATAAAGTTCAAAAAACAAACTTTCAATCAATGTCAATTTATGACAACCACATGATAATAACTGCTCAAAAGGGATACAAAGCTTTTAAAATGGACAGATGTTTAAATTAAAGTGAAGGATTTCTCAAGGTTTCAAAAGTGTTGTTAACATTTGTAATCGTTTAAGAACACAACAGAATATAACATGGGTCTATCTTGTTTTTGTTTTTTTAAATGATGCCTTTAATATCCCGATTCACACGGTTATTTGAGTGTGACATACTTGCTCTGGATGCCGAGCCACAGCATGTGTTGCCTGTGGGCAATGTCTGTGTGTTTCTTCACAAATTCTACATCGGTGGGCAGCAGGAACTCCCAGCCGCGGTTGACTCGAGGAACAGCCACATGCTCCAGGAACTCCTTCACATCCTCCGGAGGAAGCTGACAGAAGGAGGAGGAACAACTTGTTAGTTCTGTTTACCTGAATCAGGGGAAAAGCTGCAGCCTCAAGGTTTCATTAAGCAAGCCGCAGCATGCGTTCAGAGACGCTCCAGTGGAGTAACTCACAATAATGCAAACGTTCTCTTCCTCACATTATTTGAGGATGCTTGTCCTTTTATTCAGCGCCTGTGCTATTTCTGTGATTAACTGTCATATCAGAAGGATTTATTAGCAATATATGAAACCAATTCAGTCCAGGTTCCTTTTAATAGAAAGTCAAACAGAAAAAAGGCATCACACTTCCACTAACAACTTCCCTGCAAACATGTTGAACACCCAAGAGACTCAATTACCCTGAAAGCAGCCTCTGGGGCAGTGAATATTTTAAGGCTGAGCGCCTCAAAAAACAATTAGTTTTTCCCTACTAACTTGCAATTTTTAAACATTTTCATGAATGTCAAATTACAAACAATGATTGCAAACAAGCGTCTTTGAGCACCAGCAAAAGAGCTATATGAATACCATGTATTATTATTATTACAAACTGAATCATAGTTACATTTGAAAGAAAACCACGAAATGTTATTATTTCGGCAGAAAGAAAATGCTGACTGTTGGACATTCAGTCATGTTGGGATTACTGTCTTACTTTGATGATGGATGCAATCTCCTTTCTCATCACAGAGCGCTCCAGAGTGAACCTCCACATCTATAAAAGAAACAACAGATGACTTTTAAATCATGTACTATTTGCAAACAAAACACACCAGGCCCCGCACTGATATTGCTTTCATTTTGCTAACTCAATAAAATGGACAAAAGTAATTGACAGCAGCTCACCACAAAGTCCCGGCCCCGACAGAGCACCTCGGCAGGGACCCCGCTGTGAGGACTGCAGGTGTTTTTAGGATAGAGGACATCACTGCAGAGAAGACAAACAAACAGAGACATCAGTGAGCTGCCAGGTTTATAAATCCTCTCAATGTAGGCTGCAAAACTCATTTTCAACACGTTTATCGGTTTTAAAACTTTTAGTGACATTTCCTCTCACCTCTTGACCACCCAGTTGCCCTGCACAAGCAGCGCCACCTGCTGGATGCAGCGCAGCGCCGCCGTTGAGTCCGTGCCGGAGGCGAGCAGGCCCATCAGGTTAGCAAACGGCATCACTTTAACTAAAGAGCAGAGGAGACAGGGGAGGAAATATTAAACATTACTGTAAGAGGAAGGAAAACCAAAGTGAATGTTGGTTGTGTGAAAACATGATGCAGTTCATGGTTATGAGAAATGTACTGAGCAAAAGGTATGACTGGTTTGGAAATCATTTCACATACACTGGAAATTCATATAAATACTTTTTTGCCCCCTTGTGGCACATAGACAACTACATGGGAAATGTGGACCTCTTTTAAATTAAGCGACTCGCAAAATATACTTGTATTGACAATAAGTATGATAAATTAAATATCGGGTTGATATAAAACACCCATGAAAATATCATGTTAGCAGATTGTTTTGTTTTGTTTAAATGTGGCGTACCGTTCTTCAACAGGGTCTTGACCTGCTCTCCCAGAGGCAGAGTGCGGAGCTGAGCCATGGAGAGCACATTGCTGGGACCAACAGGCTTCACACTGACATTCAGAAAACAGTCGGAGAGAGACAGAGAGGGAAACGTCAAAGAAAAACCTCTGATATTATGTGATAAAAACGTTTAGTTGTGTGGGGGATACTTACAGTTTTTCCTCTGCAATAGGCGGCATTAGCATTGCTAGGTACTCCCTGCAAAAATAAAATTAAGCATGTAAGGATTATTAAGAATTACATAAAGACAGGACATTAAGATAAAGATTACCAATTAGGCTGGAGTCGTGGTAGAATCAACAAGTCAATCAACAGAAAAATGACTGCAGACTTTTAAGAAAGTAGCACGCAGGGAATCAGACATTAACTCAACAAGTTATATTTGCAATCAGACCAAACGGGGACCTGGGTGGCAGGAAGTACATGTATAGATGTAATATTACCGGTAAGTAACAAAGCAATCTTAGGTCAGCACGATCATTCAAGGTGAAGGGAAGGCAATAGTGGCTTTGTTTACCAAAAGAAAATGTCACAGACTTCAACAAAGACTAGACTAGTTGAGTGAAAGTCGTGAAATGTATTCAAACGTCTGTTGTTGATGTTCGTACTCACTTGGGGGTTTTGACCAGCTCAGAGTTCTCCGAGGCGTCCATTGACTGGCAGAACAGATACTGCCGTTCATGCTCCGAGTGCCCATCCTGATGTTCAAAGTTACAAATCAAAGAAGAAACTGATGATGAAGAGATCTACTGACCACAATGCAGCAAGAGGAAGCTAAAAGACATATTTAGTACACAAACCAGAGGTTCGCTAGACTTTTTCGCTGCCCCTCATTTTGACGGACAGGATCGTAACATTTCTGTCAAAATCCATTATTACCCGTCGGCAGTTTGAACTGACAAAAAGCAAATCCTCAAATGTGAGTAAGAAGAAGACTGTTGTGGCATTTAATTCACGCTCGTGAACTGTTAGCGCCGTGTTATGCATGCCCACTGCACCTCACATTTCCTTTTTGGCGGGCATGCATAACACGGCATAACACCGGAGCCTCGCTGCGGGGAAACTTTGGCGCTGTTCCGAGTTTGTTCTAATCTGTCAAAATGACGGACTGCTTTCAGATTTTTCCGTCATTGTTAAAAATAAATCCGTCATAGACAGAAAGTATTCGGTTAACGCAACCTCTGACACAAACATAAAGCAATTCAAAGTGATAGAATATATGAAATATATTACATTGAAGAAACTGCATAAAAGTAGCTGAAGATTTGAATGGCATTGCATTTTAAAAAGCAACAACCAAAAGCAATAAAATACATGGTAACATATCTAATTTATTGGAAAGCCACAGTAAACAAAAATGCTAAGATACAATACAGCATTATGGGATAATTTACCCAAGTACACAGACAAGGTTAACACTAGCATAACAACAAAACTTAAACTCACATGTCTGATGACTTAAAGAAAGAAGCAGCCTACCTTGACACCGTGGTAGTGCAGGTGAGCCCAGGGCTCCTCCGCCTGCTTCCTCTGGAGGAAGTCGTACGACTGGATCCTCCTCTGCCGGGCCTGCTCCGACTCGGGACGCGCAAACCTCACCTGCAGTGGACACACACAGAGAGAGTTTTTTAATGTTTTAGAAAAATAATGGGTTCACACGGACACAAAGTCAGTGTAATGATGGATGTGTGTGTGTGTGTGTGTGTGTGTGTGTGTGTGTGTGTGTGTGTGTGTGTGTGTGAAAGTCCTCACCGTTATGGCTTTGACGTCCTCCTCAGCTTCATCCTGGGAGGAGTCTCCACCTGCAGACAAAACACTCATTTAACTGACGTCACCTGAACCTACCAGCTAGCACAATTTTGCGTTGATAAAAGCATCACGTGTCATTCTTCTTACATAATATACCAGAATTTTACTTAACAACACTTTTAACTTTTCATGTCATTTTCTTTAGCATTTCATTTTTTTTAAATTGAAACAATATTGTCTGCTCTGCTGAAGAAGCTCGGGTTGCCACTAATTATTATCTACATAACAGATTGATCTGCCAATTGTTGTTTGAAGCTAAATGTCCTGTGTTTTCTTAACATCAGTCTGAATCCAAAATGTTTTCAGTTTACAATTATATAAAACAAAGACAAAAAGCAAATCCTCAAATGTGAGTAAGAAGAAGACTGTTGTGGCATTTAATTAAAAAAGGCTACATTTTGTTGGATTCCGATTTTATTTACTAGCCATTCATCATTTGATACTCTCTTTAAGTCATTTATTTATCTCAGGTATTGACCATTTTTATTTATTTTTTTGAGAGTTTACAAGAACAACTTCCCCACTTTTCTTTATGTAAACATTTCTATATATTATATTTCATTTTGAAAAAACAGACACACCTTCATTGGCCGCCTCCCTCTCTCTGGTTTTGGTGTCGGCCTTGTCCAGATAAGTGAAGCTCGGTCTCATCTGCAGGATTCCCGACAGAGGAGTGACGTGAAGCTCTCCTGTTGACATGAAGAATAATAAAACTATCGTTATCTTCAATGTAAGCACAGTACATTTGATGACACGGTAATAAAGGTAACGCTGAGAGATTCACATGGACTCTTTGAACATATGAGGGACAATTTGTGTATTAACAAGAAGTGGCATCGAGTTTAGAAAACCAAAACACAAGTATGGGGAAGTACAGGCTCAGAGCGGACCTTTGCGAAACACAGCAGCAGCGTATCTGGAGGTGTTGGTGGTGGCCTGGATGGAGGTGAAGGTCTGTTTATCCATAATTTTCCTGGAGGAAAAAAAAGTGAGAGAAGAATGCTCAGGCCAGAGACAGAACTGGATAGTTATTCAGCTTCATTCAAAAATAAAAAAAAGTCTGAAAAACGTATTTAATCACGATTATCTTTTCTTGACAAAAGTTAGATGAGAAGTTTGCTGCCACTCTCGCGTCAATGCGGCTAATGGGAAGCTACTGCCAGCATTTGATTCAAATAGCTTAGAAAATACTAAAATGGATGATATTTGTGCTGGACTATTCTGACAGAGAATTTAATCTATTTACAAAAAAAAGACTCAGAAGTCAACAGTTTGCATTGAATAAAACTATACCAAAATAGTTATCAACACTTGATTGTAAATAAAAACAGGATGATGTTGATTAAATATGATAAAAACTGATGAGGACAATTGACACAGATCTTAGCAGTGAAAATGAACACATACGCAGAATAGGTGTTTGTTTCCTCGTAAGTGGTGCCGTCCACATTCAGAGCTATCTGCTCTCCTTTGCTGCGACAGTAGTTTGGACTATTTGTGTCCATGGCCATTTCCAACTCCACCTATATTATTGAGTGTTGTAAGAAAAAATACATTACAAACATTCTCTATACTGATGGATGATAGATAAATAATAGACTATTTGTTTTAACCTTTTGCTGCTTGGGTTTGATCCGAGCTGATAAGTGGTTGACATCATCGTAGGTCATATTGGATGGTCGGACGGGGTACTGTCAGAAAAACAACAACAAAGGTGATGAGTGAGTGACTCATTGCACTTTGAACATTATACATCAATCTCACAACAGGACAAACAAGATGAGATGATTTAGAGTCTTACTAATTGCATTAAAGGTAGGGTAGGTAAGTTTAAGAAACCGGCTCGAGATACACTTTTTGTTATATTCCATGGAATGCTCTTAACATCCCGATAGCAATGAATATCTTAAGTGCTTTGACAAAAAATCCATAAAAAAAATGTCATCTGTGGAAGCCGTAGTACTGTAAAAAGTACGACCAATCATTTTAGCCGGCCCGGCTAAAATAACTGGATGGCCTGTCAGCCTTCCATCTGTGCACAAACTTATCTCGTGCCCTCATTGGTCATGTGCGCGTTCGTGTGTGTTGGAGGAGGGGCTCTGTAAGGAAGTGGCAGATTTTCTCTGGTTGTGTATTTTCAAATTCTAGCGATCTCGAGCCGGTTTCTCAAACGTACCTACCCTACCTTTAAGTACAACAAATGACATTGTTACCTGAAAAAGATACAGCTTATCTGCAAGACTTTTGGCAAGATACACATCAATCTGAAAGAAAAAGAAAAAATATTGATCAAATTAATGAATAAAGATCTTGACCATAAGGATTTTGTTTTTTACACATGCGCGAACACAGATAAGAAGTAACCATCCCAAGAATCACACCAATTGAGATCAGAGGCACATAAGAAAATGCAACTCACACAATATAAAAAAATATGTGGTGGATTATTCATTATTTTCCTTTAACTTTTTCATGCAGACATACCTCCTCTATAATTGGGTCATCATCATCCCCGCTGGCCATATTGATGTGAACAGAGAGGAGGGGAGAAGAGCTGAAACAGGAGCAGCAGATCTCAGAGATCCAACCTGGAAAACAAAGACACACAGAACAAGAATTTAAAGGGATTTATATTCTTAAGACATCATTGTTGCCAAGTGGCAACACCCAAGCTGGTAATAAAGAAAATAGATGGCAGGTAGCTGGTGCAGTAACATTAGCAATGTGTTTCCGCATATTATTGAAGTTACATCATTCATTAGCTGTTGTCAGTCAGCCTTCAGAAGACTTGTAGAAGAGGGTTGAGTTTGATTAAACCCCTGAGTTAGCACACAGGCAGACCATGATCAGGCAGTCTGTCAAGTGATGCTTTCACTGACAGTCAGGGAAATTATGCAAGACAATGAAACAAACGTCACATATAGCTAACATGTTAAAATATCTGATTGTATAAAACTGTTAACAGACAGTTATTCGTAAAAGTAAGTCATATTGAAGGTAACGTTAGCTTGATTAGCAATGTAGCAACAAAACCTCCAGCCACTTATCACAGGCCTGCGCTTACACTGCGAGTTGACTGTTTAATTATGGCTCAAATAATAAAAACATATCAAAAGAATACAGGACAAAGAGAAAAAACTCAACTTGTATTTGTACACACACGTATTAGCAACGAAACGAGCTAACATGCAGGTAGCCGGTACAAGTTTAGCCTAGCATTTGTTAGCGTGCCAAGCTAGCAAACACATGCATGTCAAAATAACACAGTCAAGTCACCAGTTTTACACACAGGTTCTCCTTAAACAGAACCACAGTAGCTTTAGTGCTCACCTGCACTCTACACCGTTCAGGTTTAGCTTTCTCATCCGTGTCTAACAGGGCAGATATGTGGTGCGTAGCGGTGTAGTGTCTAACTCCCTGTTAGTGTCGGTACCATGTTGACTCTGAACACAGACACGTGGGGAGGAGTCCGTGCCCATAATGCACAGCGACAAAACTATACACTGGTCTTTTCCCAATCTTTATTTTCATAGCTTTGTATGTGACTTTGGTGGAATTATATGAAAATACAAGTGCATCATTTAAATTGTAAATCATCAAGCAATGTATGAAAAAATTATGGCAGCGGCGGGATTCGAACCCGCGCCTCCGAAGAGACTGGAGCCTTAATCCAGCGCCTTAGACCGCTCGGCCACGCTACCTTGATGGTTTGCATCAAATGGCCATTCCATTTTATTGTGCAATATTACGAATATTGACCAATGAGAATTAGTTCATTATTAGTGGGCCAATTACATTCGTGGCTCCAAAATTCATCCAAGCTTTGACCAATCACGGCGAGGAAATGTTGAAGCATTTGAGGCAATGTTATAGCTGCTAGTTTTGTTTTTCTGACTTTTTTTTAGCTGCCGCAGTGTCGGCTGTCTAATTTTGAGAAATGTTGAGAATATGGCCAATCAGAGAGCCAGCTCCAACATTCGTTAGCCAATGGCAGCGGCCAATCACGTTCGCGGCTCCTACATTCGTTCAAAATTTGACCAATACCGGAATAGAAATGTTGGAGCAACGAAGGGGGCGTACATCGTAATAACATCGAGGGACATCATTAAAGTTTACGAGTGGTTACAAACATGGTAAGTCTTATAACAGTGTTGTATATGATATGACTATAAGTGTATATTAATTCAAACTGTTGTGTCGTGTTGTCATATAGATTAATTCAACTATTATCCTTACAAACTCTCCGTTATCTGACCCCAGCATTGAGCGTCCACTGTGTAAACAGCGGACGCTAACAAAGTTTACAAGTTTCTACGTTTTTATGAACATGGTGAGTCTTATTACAGTGTTGTATATGATATGACTATACGTTTATAATTCATTCAAACTGTTGTGTTGTGTTGTCATATAGATTCATTCAACTATTAAGGTCACAAAAACCCCGTTATCTGACGCTCTGTTTATGCTTTGTTACCCGGCCGCCGGATACTGCTAACTTTTACTGTTAATGTAATTTAATTAGGTGGCGATAAAAACCGCATTTCGTAATATTTTTAGGCGATACTATAAATTCAGATGGATACCCGAATATATTAAGGGTTGTCATGTGTTTTATTGGAAGCGGAAAAGCTGAAATAACGTTATTTATGACACATTATTAAGTAGCCTACTAGCCCTTTATTTACATAGGCTACTTGCCCAAGAAGGTAGCTGACGCTAATCAAACGCTTTTCTAATTCATGATATTTTCAAACACACAATTTACTTTTTAGATAAAACCTCCAATGTAAAGGTCAAGTATATTTAACATTTATATTGTGTTTTTTGTTTTAATAGAGGGGTTTTCTGTGCTATACCTTTCACTACAATGGACCAAACGTTTTTTATATGTTTTATAGGAACTACAAAACCATGTTATATACAATAAAATACATGTCTACATAATTAGAAAATGCTATTTGTATCAAATAAATCATTAGGAAATTATTATTACATACACAAATGTGTCTGTGCCAGGGCCTGATATTTTAGTAATACAATTAATATTACATTGTGTTTTATTAAAGCATGAAAACCTGCTTAGGTATGATATATGTTACTCATAGTTTCGCATGTCCTCTATGAAATTAAATATTCAGAATCAAGAGCAGGTTATTATCCCCCCAATCATATAATTGGAAATGTACACTGTGTTAAAGGTCCCTAAATGTTTTCTTATACAAATATTGTATATGATTGTAATTAAGGTTCTTATGAGCTTTCTTTCAAACACATTGGAGAGGCTTTCAAGGCTTACAGCCAGAAAGATATTTTTAACCCAAACAATAACTTTTTCACACACAATTTCTGGCATAAAGACCTGACAGCTTACTCCTCGTAAAAGTGTTTCACTTGATATATATGTTTCTGCACCTATGTTGTTTCTATGCATTTATAAATGTTCTCACATTTATGACTCTAAAGGAACTATCAAGGAAAACAAAACCACACAAGGCCATGTCGGACTCAGAGTGGATGTCCCGTCTGAGGAAGTTTGCCAGCACGGGGGCTTGTAAAGCCAAATTTGAGTACAGCCAAACCCAGAAAGGCAACAGAGGTAAATCGATTTTTTTAATAAATAACAGTTTAACTTCGATTATTTATACAATTGACTCATACGGAATGTTTTACAGACCCATGTCACGGACCCCACAGCAGCATCTACCAGCACTTACCCCACAGAAAGAAGCTTCAGCACTGCACCCAGCGTTGCTGTCTCAGTAAGTGATGATAAACTCACTTTTACAAATACAGAAAGCGTGTTTGTATTCCTACACCATTTTTCCCAAATAGTATTAAGGGAATTAAAAGCCATTTTAATGTTTTATTAAATAATGTGTTGTTACACATTTAATTCTGAAATGACCATTGAAAGCTAAAAACAAATAGTGTTTCCTTTAGAGCAGCTGAAAAATAACTTTGAATCTTTTGAATGTAAATGCTATGATTTCTTTAAACACATGTCAGTATATTTCTTGCCTTTTACAGGCTGCACAGCCTCAGACAGCTTCAGTGCCTGTCCTCAGTCCCGGAGCAGTGAGTGCCACTGTGTCGGTAAGTCATTTAATATTTCATTTCATACTGTGTAGAGCATTAGCAGTGTTTGTACCTGTGTTAAGGTTGCTTATGCTCTGTTGTTGTTTTTTTCAAAGGCTGCTGCCTCCAGGACAGAGACTGACACAGCATCACCAGTCCAGCTGCCCCGTTTGTGGTCAGAGGGCTTGCCACCTGAAGACCACAAATGGATTCTTAAGAGCCTTTTGAAGTTGGGGCCCAAGGGAAAACTAGAGCTTCAAGACCACCTGAAGCTCTACTTTCCACCACAGCCAAGCCACCTGTATCACCAGGCTCCTGCACCAGACCGCTTCTTTGCCCACCCACTTCTTGTCTGGATGCCTTACAAGCTGTGGAAGGTGAAGGTGGTCTGTCCCAACCTTGGCTGTGGGCAGCACCAACTCACAGGTGCAGGGCTGAACAAGAGGGCACGTCAGGTCCTGGACGTGGACAGGATCTACAACTTGGTGACAGAGACTCTTACCTGCACCAAATGTAGATCCACCCATGTGTCATGGAGCCAGACGGTCCTTTCGCAGTTGGACTTGGCTCACAGATCTGAGTTTCGGGTCGTCATCCTCACACAAAAGTGAGTAAAGTGTATTGTTTTCTGTTGTCTCAAATAGAATCATGTAAACGGATATTTATAATTAGTTCTGTCCCTCACCAAGGTTTGCGTGTGATATCCGGGTGATCCGGCTTCTGAGGGAGAGAGGTCTGGGTAACAGCCCCACCAGGATGTTGAAGCAGCTGAGGGAGAACCACCGAGAGGAGTGCCTGCATCGTGTGGCGAGGTACACCACAGAGTGTGTGGGCTTCCTCCAGGGCCCCAGACTGTTGCCTGTGACCTTCCCTGAGCCTCCAGAGCCTGCTGTGGTGCCGAGCTGCAAGTGGCTCCTCTCAGTGTACAGTCAGGACATCTTGACCAGGCTGGAGGAGATCAAGGCCAGGATAACATCCACATATGGCAGCATTTTAAAAATGGATTCCACCAGAAAGGTGAAGCAATCATTCTTATCTTTTAAACACTACTGATATTAATAACCTCAGCCTGTATTTCAGTATTTGTAAATTATGTTAACAGATGCCCTTTTCATTCTGTTCTCTTCAGATCACCAAGAAGCTTGCTGGAACAGCCAAGGGGACGGCGCTCTGGCTCACCTCTGTGGGAAATGAGAATGGCCAGATTCTCATCAGTGCTGACTGCTCAGGAGGGAGCAGGGCTGGACATGATGGCAGCAAACCTGGTGAGGAGATACCAGCAGGCCGGAGTGGGTCCTCCTGTGCTGCTGTATGTGGACTGTGGCTGCTGCTGCACAGAGTCAGGGGAGACTAAGCTGAAGGCCAGATTGATCTGGTGGCCGGAGGAGTACGTTTGCCTACGTACAGATGTGCAAGAGGCTCGACATCATTAGAGTCTTGTCACCTACACCTCAACCGCTTCATACCAGGTTTGTGTCTGTCAAACATGTTGGTTCATGTGTTGCATAGCCCAAATATTTCATAACCTAATGTTTCATAATGTTCTTCTAGGGACCAGTGCCAACAGCGTGAATTTTCAGATTTACCTGCTGGAAGGACTGCACAGGTGGAACCAGGACCGTTACACTGGTAAGCCTTTTTGGACACGTTTGTAATTAATAAACGTTTAAACAATATTTTTAAATATATTTATATCATTTTATTCCATTTAGTAAATAATCCACTTTTCCTCTATCGTTTCAGGAGAACTAATCGGCATGCAGTATCTGTTGCAGCAGACTGGTCAGGCACTGCAGGATATGCACCCTGATTCAGAGGAGATTGCTCAGCTGATCGAAGAGCATGAGGACGTCATGGAGGAAGATGAGGGCTTCTCTGACATCAGAGACGACCCCACAGTGCTGGACCTCGGGGTCCTGCACACTCCTCCTGTGAATAGTAATGTCAGTATTTTATTATTTTATTTAAAGTCTTTGTTGTATTTATTGTACTTTTGTAGTGTGTTTTAATAAATTCTTTCAAAAAGTATTTCCTTATTTCTTTTTTCTCTCAACAAACAAAACTGGTGTTCAGCAGTTGTACAAGTGTTTTAATGATAGTTTGTATAAAATAGCACATTTATAGTGGTGATGACAACATTTTATAGTTTTAACATTCACTCTTTAAAGCAGGACTCAGATCCTCTACCTAAGTAAAAGTACTAATACCAGACTTAAAATACTACATTACAAGTAAAAGTCCTGCATTCATACGTGCAGTAAAATGTAGAATAGTTACCTCTAAGATGTAGTGATGTACACTTTCAAAACAATTCATATTATGGAAAGACTTAAGTTAAGTACAAGTACATCACATTTATACTTTAGTAAACGTGTCATTGAGTCATAATCATATACTATTTATATAGCACTTTTCACAAATGAAATACAAAACAAAGTGCTGTTTAACAAGGGATTATATTTAAAATAAACATAAAACTGTGACAGAATGCTAAATGTATGGAAAATGACCTAGGGAAATAAACGCTTTTGAATATATAGTAAATATAATAGTGGAAAGTAGATAAAAAAAGATTAAATGCATTCTTCAACTGGTCACATGTTATATTATTTACAAGGTATTTAACTTGACACTTGAAACAAATAAAAACACGTTATGTGACTTCAAAAATAAACATAATTGAAGGAGGAATTTTCAATTCTTGTTGGTTGTGGAGACTTATGTAGTTCCCTAGTTCACGGGTTCGAATCCCGCTTGCAGCGTTTCCGAAAAATGTAAAAAACATTAAAAGTTTCCCATGTATGCCCATATAGCTAAAAACACATCAATCAAGTAAAAATGTGACTTTTTTCTTTTCTTTCTAATTTTTCTTTCTTCTTCCCCCTTCTCCCCCTCTTCTCCCCCCTTCTTCCACTTCTTGACGGCCGAGTATTCCACAGCTTTCAAGAGAGAGGCGAAGTCCCGCCCATCTACTTCCGACCCATGGGACCTTATTTCGGAAAAATTATGAATTGAAGTCAATGGAGAGAGAAAACGTATCTTTCGATCCCGTTTGAATTGTGCCACGAATTACACATATGATGTTTGTCAATCTTAAAAAATAATTCCATGTCAAAAAAGTCAGTTTGTTGTAAAACTGTTGAAATATAAGACTATGAAAAATACGCAACTAGAAAGACTACAAATCCCAGAGTCGCGATAGTGATGTCATAACTGATGTCATAATTGTTTTCCTCCACTAAATATAAGAGATAGCTAAGATAAGATAACTTTAACAAGATGCCTGTGTGCTTAGTAACAGGTTGTTATCATACCAGCAATGGGTCTTGCTCGTTCTTTCGCTTCCCGCCTGATGAAAGGACCAGGAGTGGCTGGATCAAGTTAGCTACCTAGCTAGTAGCAAGCACGTTAGTTAGCATTACAGCCTTAGCCTTGTCATTTGTATTAGCCTTAACATGAAGTAACATTAAGTAACCCAACATGTTAAACAGTAAGAGTAGTAGTCATATTTCGTGAACCCTTTGAAGAGTACTGTCACACCGGTGTGATCATTCTATAATACACCGTTTAAGCCCGGATGCCCCCGGGGGAGAAATGCTAACGCTAACGCTACATTAGCATCGGCGGTCTTTTCTACTTCATGCTATCTGCACAAATGGTTAACATTGAACATTAAAAAGATCAGGCAGTTCAGGGAGAATCGAAGGAAGGCAGGCAGGCAGGCAGGCAGGCAGCTTTCATTGTGTTGATAGCTGGGATGCAAACGTGTCACCTTTCGGCAAAATTTGCCGAATCCAAAATAGGTCGTTTGTGTGATTCATGTAGATCTGCAATAAAAATATTTTTGGGGTATGGGGGGGTTCTGGGACCCGGAGTAATCTGCGGCCGCGAGCTGTTATGTGCCATCATGACACGCATGGTGTTCTTTTTTTATATATTATAATGAAGCGCGAGCTGTGTGCTCGAGTCTTCCTGCCTGTCGGCTCTGCTCATGGATGTATAATAAGGCTCTGCTGCTCCGCGATGAGGGTCTAGCTTCAGCAGCTACATTACCTACGGGTGCGTTCGTTAATATTAACTGTGTGGTCCGGAGTCACTGTGGCACAGACTGGACCGCTGGTGAACAGCTGTTAGAACGGGCCGTTCAGGTGTTCAGAGCAGAGCTCCCTGTCGGAGCGGCAGAGCGTGATGTGCACTGAAAAGTTTTCCTGTCGCAATATTATTTAAGGAATCGTTGAGCTAGCTAACTAGCATACATTGTCACTATCTGCTAACGTTAGCTTTAGCCTTCATTTTCTAATAGTTTTTTTCATAGGCTATAAACGGAGGTGGTATAAGTATAGATCTTGTACTCGAGTACAAGTAGAAGCACTCAGATCTTGTACTTGAGTACAAGTAGAAGTACTCAGATCTTGTACTAGAGTAAAAGTAGAAGTACTCAGATCTTGTACTTGAGTAAAAGTAGAAGTACCAGAGTGTAGGAATACTCTGTTACAGTAAAAGTACTGCATTAAAAATGTTCCTCAAGTAAAAGTATAAAAGTATTATCATCAAAATATAGTTAAAGTAGCGACAGTAAAAGTAGTCATTCTGCAGATTGGTCCAATTCAGAATAATATGATATGATATGTTTTATAATGATTGATCATTAAAGTGTTCTCAAAGCTGGTAAAGGTGCAGCTAGTGTAGCTCACCCTTTAGAGCGGCGGTCCAGTAGGGTTAGCTAGGGTAGATAGCTAGCAGAAGAGTTCCAAGATCCAGGTTCGAGCCCAGGCCTTTACTCTGTCTCCCTCTAGTGGCGCTAAAGAAAAACCCATAAATGCATTAATAGTATAAATGCATTATTTTTTACATCTAAACTTGGCATGTTCTTGTGTTTTTTACACAGTGTTAGAATATGTATTGGAGTGTAAAATATTGACACAAAATTGATAAACACCATTAGAATACAATAAACAACTCCTAAAGAGTTTAAAAGCACACTATTAGGAGTTAAATACTTTACGAGGTCAATTTGAAATAATATTAACAGTAGAGTTAAAATCTTCACTTTAAGATTTACACAACTTGAGTTAAGAATGTACTACCCATGTACAAAAATGTGCAACAATAAGCCCAAAAAGTATAGCAATTAACTTTTATATTTTTCACATTTTTAATGGAATACTATGTGTCAAAACATGATGGGTAGTGATTGAAAGATCATGCTATTTGTTAACATGAAAGCATGTACATGTTCTACAAAGGATGTCTCTTAAACTCTTAACACTACAGTATCTACTTAAACAGCGTTAACATACAGTAGATTCTCTATTTGTAATTGGATGAGTGGTGTTAAAGGTGGGGTAGGTAAGTTTGAGAAACCGGCTCGAGATACACTTTTTGTTATATTCCATGGAATGCTCTTAACATCCCGATAGCAATGAATATCTTAAGTGCTTTGACAAAAAATCCATAAAAAAAATTCATCTGTGGAAGCCGTAGTACCGTAAAAAGCACGACCAATCATTTTAGCTGGGCCGGCTAAAATAACTGGATGGCCTACCTGCCTGTCAGCCTTCCATCTGTGCACAAACTTATCTCGTGCCCTCATTGGCCATGTGCTCGTTCGTGTGTATTGGAGGAGGGGCTCTGTAAGGAAGTAGCAGATTTCTTCCGGCTGTGTATTTTCAAATTCTAGCGATCTCGAGCTGGTTTCTCCAAAATTACCTACCCCACCTTTAAGTGTTTTTGTTGCATAAATTCATTTTGTATTTCAGATTACTGTTATGCAGAGTAGCTTATTTTTTATAAGAAATGTGTGAATGTGTTTTTAAACTTATTGACAAATGCTTATGACTGTTTGTTTTTATTGTAAAGTGAGGTCCAAAGCTCTCGTCCACTGAAGAGAAAGAACAGGAAAGAATAATGACAAGTGTTTAGTTTACCCATAAAAAGCGAACTTTATTTATCAGTTTGAAACTCCAATCATTTTTTTGCGGGGGGTCAGGGGGGGCATTCATATTCTTATAAATGTGTTACAGCATTACTACGTCGAAAATTGTTCCAATACAAATATTTCATATATCAATATTTTAATAAGGTAGGACACTGGTTAATAATATTGTAGCGTGTTCAAGTAACCAAGGGATATAGTAGTTATCAATTTAAGTATAAGATGTGCACAGTTATTTATTTGTTGTTGGGGGGAGAGACCGCCCCTTCCATATGAGTGTGTGTACGGCGGGCATGGAAAAGTCATACTCAGTGCAGTGAGCACTGGCTTTATTGCTACTGTATCCGTAGCACCCCACGCAATAGTTGGGACTGTGTACTGACGTCAGTAAAAAAGGTTTGCCCCCCCCAAGCGCAAATGTCAAACTCTGCCTATGAAAACAAGTAAACCGTTTTCTTTATTTTGACACTCCAGACCTTCTCTTTCATACAACCACATACATGTAGGCCAGGGGGTGTCAAACTCAAGGCCCGGGGGCCAAATCCGGCCCGCGACTTCATTTAATGTGGCCCCACAAGAGCTTGCAAAGAATATAATATGTTTATTATAGGGTTACATGCAGTTTTTCCAGAATTTGGCTTTTCTTTTTAAATCATTTTGGGACATACGCACTGAAGAGACTTGCAATTATTTCCCCTAGACTTCTGCTTTCAGATGTAGTTAATTATGAAGTTATTACCCTATCTGATAATAATCCAATGCAGAGGCAATCATGTAACATAATACATTATTTTATATATATTAAATATTTATATATGTATATTTATATAGTCTTGAAGTTACAACCGGCCCTTTGAGTGCAACCATGATGCTGATGTGGCCCGTGATGAAATTGAGTTTGACACCCCTGATGTAGGCAATGAGAGATGGGAAATTGAAGAACACAGGATTCAAGAACACTCACAGGAAAAGAAGAACAGAAACCTGGACGTGAAATCCTCAAAGGCTGAACACATGCGCACACAAACACATTTTTGAAAAATATTGTAATAAAAAACATGTAAACTGTAGCCAATCAGGTCCTTCTGAATTTGAAAAAATTATCTCCTGTAGCCTTTTTTGTTAAAGAATGTGTGTCCAGAATTATTCCTCCATTAACGCCCATGCTTCTTCAGCTTTCATGTAATACTGGTTAGCCAATCGACCCTTCATGGCCTCCATGGCAGCCTCTGCTGCTTCTGTGAACAGATCACCTGCAGGGAGAGATGGGTGGAGAGGTTAGGAGGAGGTCACATCATCAGATTTCACTTCATGATTATCAGTGCCAAGAGAACTCACAATGCCGATATCATAATGGTATCTTTAAAAAAACAAAACATTAAAATGATATCATTCAAATGTATTGTGCGCTTTGTTTCTTTTTTTCATAGTGTAGAGGTGTGGAGGGAGAGTCTGTAACCATACCAGCAGAAATGATTTAAGAGGAGCTGGATTATTTATATGATATCGATATTTCATTCTTCTTAAATATAAAGGATATAATCAATAACGGTATATCGCGACGACCCAAGTTGAAGGCAAACATCTGCAACATTGGCAGAATGAATGGCTTTTAATGTGAAACTCTCAGCAGTTAGGACAAGGCTTGTGATAGTCTTGACTTTTCTCACTGTCAATGAATCCCATGAAAAGACCAACACTTGCATGACAATAAAGCGCCTCATCTATTTAAACACATTTGCAGCAAACTGTTCTCAAGGCACATAGCACATGAAATCTATCTTTTGAGTATCATCTACATTGGAGGAGGTGGGTAAGCCAGCATGGATTCAAACCTGCTCTCTGGGGGTCTGGGGTGAGGCTACACCCTCCCTCCTGGTACATCTCTGCCACTCTGGCCAGCAGCAGGTAGCGAGGCTCGTCCTGAATCCCATCGAACTCTCCGCCCTCGTCATAGTCCGTCATGTTCAAGGCATTTTCATACCAGTGAATGGCTTCCGCCCAGTCCCGCTTTCTATACAATTCGGAAAAAAACATCACCATTTGCATCAAAAACAGTAAAACGCAGAGGTGGGAAGTAGTGAAGTACAAATACTTTGTTACTGTACTTAAGTACATTTTTCTGGTATCAGTACTTTACTCCACTACTTATTTTTCTGACGACTTTTTACTTTTACTTCTTAGATTTTTAACACAAATACCTGTACTTTATGCTTCTTACATTTTCAAAACAGGCACGTTACTTTAGTTTTAATCTGTGTTTGGAGGCGAGATCATTATTTAGAGTCATTGCCTATTGATTTTAACACGATCCGTGTATCCTTCATTTCCTGGTCTTCTCTAAAGAAGAGGGACCAATGAAAACGTTGTCATTTAGCATCAAAACATTCATTAGCTAACAATGACATTATTGTTCTATTAATATAAAGGGAGGTCAGGTACTCTTTAAAACAGCTGGTAGTTATGTGACATTTCGAAAGCCCATACTTCTTTACTTTTACTTGAGTAAAGAAGTATAGTCAGTACTTCTACTTTTACCAGAGTATTTTTAAACGCGAGTATCTGTACTTCTACTTGAGTAAAGGATGTGTGTACTTGTTGCAGCTTCTTTATCCATCTCTGATAAAACGCTGCTCTCTTTGATAATACAAAATAAACATAGGCATCCCTCTAGGGGGCAGTATAACCATGACTGTTGGACTTCTGTGTGTGTCTTTACCCACAAATCCATACACAATCCAAGTCCAGATTTTGACAGTTTAAACTCAAACAGGTTGCTTCACTGACCTGTCAGCTGACAGATTGATCCCAGAATCGAAGGCTCGGGCCACTGTGATCATAGAAGACCTGTCACCGGACTCAGCAGCCAGCAGCAGATACTTAAAGCCTTTCATCCTGTTTCCGGCGTTATCCTGCCAACAACACAGACTTATAAGAACACATATTTGTACGTTGTAAAAAGACAAAAGTCTAAATAAACTGAGGTACCTCCAGCTGCATGTCTGGCAGGATGTGATGCGGCAGCTGCATGCAGCACTGTCCCAGAGCCACGATGGCCTCCAGCTCCCCGCACTGCACCGCTCTCTCCAGGTGCATCATGGCCGAGTCCTGGTCCCACTGCTCATCCTTCTCACAGAACCGACCCGCTTCATGGTACCACACCATCCCCAGGTGCACCTGGGCGGAGGGGAGAGAGCAGAAACACGTTCAGGAACACACAGAATGGATGATCAGATTAGTTTCCAACTGAAAATGTGTTTTAGGTAATGATTCAACCTTGGTGCCTCTTGATCGACTGCTCATTTTAGTTTAACCAAGTTTTCAGGGACAATTGATACTTATTGTTTTGTTTATTTCAGAGGTGGTTTAGTTTTAGTAAATCTTTGATAAAGCCAGGTCTAATGTCTCGGAAGTATCTGGCTTTATATAAATACAGAATTCATGGTTGGAGAATTGTGTAGGATTTGCCATAAAGTGAAAACCTTTTGGGAATCCACTTGAGCACTTGACAATGAAGCTTTTTTTCGATATGGTTGTTGTATGGTTTTTAATCTGATATCAATAGCATTTTGTTTGCTTGTTTTTTTACTTAAAAAGGATATACTTTTTATTTAGTTTCATTTTACAGCTACACTTTTCACTGCATGTTTGTTTTAACTAAAAACAATCTGTGTCTTCTAATTTCAGACATTCTTCCTTATTGTAAGATGTTCTATGCATGTTGCAAGTTAACTAAAAAAACAGTTGGATAAAAAGTTAATAATATTAAATAATGTTGAGATATAACCAGGAAGATCTTAAAATATGAAGATACAATAGCACAGCCTTTAATATGTGTTGCTTTTTGACTGCCATGATTAAAAAGTCTATGTGTGAGGTGTCTAGTTTAGATAGGATGCAATCATGTGTGAGTACATTTGAATCCTTTTTTCCTGCCACTAATATCATCTGAATTAATAAAAAATGAACATGAATGCGTTACCTTTCCGAGGATGGACTGGCCTATTTTCTTCTGCATCGGAGCTTCGAGTCGCTCCATCTCCGTGGCCACACAGGAGGACCGGTGGACGTGAGAGCGGGACGAATGGTAGAAGCTCCACTTCTCCTCCGTCATCTACAAGAAGAAAAAGTCAAGATTTACAGGAGGAGCAGGAATGATCACAACATCATAAAACAAGTCAATGATGAGGGCAAATCAAGTGCAAGCTGACAAAATCACACTGGTCACACACTCAGGAGTGTACCCGTCCAGAAAAGTCAGATTCTCTTATTTGCTCTGATCAATGACAGAGCTGGAGGAGTACATCCCTGATGGGTTTAGTGACTGACAACATCAGGTAAAGAATGGGAACAGGGGCGCACACACAAGATGGCGGAGCTGCTGACACAGAGGTAGATGGTGATTCGGTTCCAAATGTCATGTTGGAATTCTTTGTATTTAGCTTTTTCCTTCACTCTGAAAATAAAGCTAGATTGGATCTGGTAAGAGGGGCTTCTTGAGGAATCTTATAAAATCTTAAAACGGACAGTTCGCCCCAAAATAAAGAAATGATATTTTTGAGCAAACTACCAACCAATTGTATCACCATGCAGATGGAAGCATGAATTGTTTGGTGCCGGATTTCTTTTGATGGACATAAAATAGTTCCTAAAAGTCTCTAATCACAACAAGGTATTTGGATTATCTTGAGTAACTAACCGGGTTATCATTTCAACAAAAAAAGCTACATTTCTGTTGAGTTTTAAAGGTATTTTCTGCTGCTTTGACCACCACAGGCCAGTGCCGTCTACTTCCATTTTATATGAGATATATCTACGGTAAGATCCCCAACACTCACTAACTCACACCAAAACAATCTAGATTGATAAATAGAACCACAAGTAAGGAATAATGTGAATTTAGATTTCAAGTTGGTCCTTTAGCCAGAGATTCATGCTTGATAAAGTCATAAGCAGTGAAACGTCTGAACGAGCCTCCATGCAGATAATCACCGAGTCGTCGTCAGCATTGTCAAAATTTAAGTTTGAAGAGACTCTTGGAGGAGCTACCATCTTCCTCTAATGAGGGAACACACAGATTAAGAGGAGCTAAACATGGAGGAAGGTGAGGAAAGACTTCTGTTGTTGAATGAATGTGTGATTAACAAAAAGGGGGGAAAGTAAGAAAGGGTGAGAAAAGTTAAGAGGATTATGTGATTATGTTGATTATTATGACATGTTGACACTACGTTTGTTTACCCGTCTGACACTGTCGTCATCCGACTCCGAGTAATGTCTTTGGATGCGATGATGGACCTACGGGATGATAATACGACATACATTTATAAAACCTACAGTAGGAAAGCCTGAGTCATGTTGAGTCAACAGAAACATTGTGAATTACATACAGATATTAGAAAAGTCTAACTTGTCAGGTTATAATAATGTTTGAAATAAATAAATAAAGTTTGTTTGCGAAAATATGTCAAAGTATGCGTGTCTAAAAATATAATAAAACAAGGTGTAAAACATATTTGTACTTCTAATCTTATTTGGACACTATAAATAACTTTTTAATTCAAACTAAAACGTTGAAAATATGTTAAATGTCTATTTTTTTATATGCCTGACACACACAAAAATATATATTTGCATTCTTTATCTGTATGTTAACTGATTTTCCCTGACACATTACTACAAATAAATCCTGGACTTTGTCTTTTCACTAAAGTTAAATCGAATGAAGGTGAAATTAAAGTGTTTACCCCGTCTACGTGGTCATTTGGATCACCATCACTCCTTCTCTCGCTGGGACAGCCGCTGTCCCCTCCACTCTCAGAATCCTGTAGACAAAAAATGTATTACAAATAATCAGTATAGCGACTGGTGAGATGTGTGGCAGCAGTCTGTTAAATACAGCTCTAAGTTCAATCTGTATGTTTCCTCTAGAGCAGCGGTTCCCAACCTTTTTCAACTCAGGGCCCACTTTTTTTCGCAGCCCACATTCAACCATAAACAATACGGAGGCTAAATAAAGTTCTGATTGGTCAATTCAGAACATGTGACACGTTGTAAATCCAGTAGAACAGACCACTGTCAAGGACTGTAATGACCGTTGCTAAGGAGGATCAAGAAAGAGAAAGGAAAAGAGGTTAAAATTAAAAATAAATCTTAATGAAAATGTTTCCACGCAAATCATAATGTTTTGCAAATTATTTGGCAGCAAATATTGATTTTACATTTACACCCTTTAATATTTTATTTGGGCTTTTAGATGAAGACCGCACACAGTTAAATACAACTATTCTTCTGGCTAAAATACATATTTTTAAAAGTCAATCAAGGAGTAATCTTAATTGAAGGTGTTTGAAGAGTAGATTAAAAATACAATTTCTTTAGGCTGAACGCCATGAGATGGGAAATAATGAGCTCTAACGAAGAGTGGGACTAAAGGAACAATAAATATGCTTGCCATATTGTTTTTTTGGTGGTATTTGGTTATCAACCTATTTTTGTTTGTGAAATGTTGAAGTGATCCTACTGACTGTATCTTTATTTCTTCTGTTTTTGTTTTGTTGTTGTTTGAGATGGGAATGTCATCTCCTATATGCTATTGTTATGTCCACGTTTGTGTCTTTAGCCTGTACAAAACAAAATAATAATAATTTGTCGGCCCACTTGCAATGCCTTCGCGGACCACTAGGGGGCCGTGGCCCACAGGTTGGGAACCGCTGCAGTCATGCTCACCTTCTGTTCTCCTGTGTTGCTATTCTTTCTTTCATTTTCATACATGCCAGTAAAATATGAGCCTGTAAGAGGAAATAAAAAAATATTAACAGTGGGGACATGCAGAAGCTTAATGTTAAAATATTGTTTGGCAACGTACAGATGGGGGACCTTCCCAGGTATCCATGAGCAGCCAGTGGGGAGCAGGGCAGAATGAGAGGGGAGCAGGGGACAGAGTCTGCGTCGCTCATGCTCTCGTCTGCGGAGGACGTCTCAGACAGGCGGGATAACAGTGGGGGGGGGCGGCCTACTGACAGGGTGCGGACTCGAGGGGATCCACAGGGCTCCTCGCAGCCCCGCAGCACCGTCTTGGCTGACTTCTGAAATAAAACGAGATCAATCACTCTCAAGGAAATAGCAACAGCACTGACAGACTACACTGAAGGTAACCGTAAAATATCCTATCTGTGGAAAGGCATCAGTTAATGGAAATTATTATATTTCTGCAATTATATCAATTAAGATTTATTTGAATGTTTTACTATATTCGGCTACGTATTTAGTAGTTCCCTCTAAAAACACATTCTATTTTCACACTTTTTTCTCCAACATTTATATATTATTTCTAATGGATGCATCTAAACATCTATTTGGCTCTATTTGGCTGATTGTATATCTTATCATATGAGCTCTGATATCCATTTTTCTACTTTTTAGTATTCTTCCAAGTCATGGACTTGAGGCTATTTCTAATATTTATGCCTTTATCTTTTTATTCTTTATAATTGTTTATTTTATTCAGGCATGGCGATCAAAAAGGGCAGGATTGATTAATGTCCATGGTCCTGACACTGCTCAAAATAATAAAGAAAATATTTAAAAATAATCGTATTTCCTTATATTACAGGAAATCAAATCCCAGAGCGGGGTAAATATGGCAACAGTGAACAACATGAAATGCAATAAATGCTTTTTATTATCATCATGATTTGAAGAACTGTTTTAACCTGACCCACTGCTGATTTCTGTCCTTGTCTGACACTATATTTATTAATGTTAAAATGTTAAAATTACAAGCAGTTTGTTGGTGCAGTCCAGCTGCGACTTCTCTGCGGGGGAAAGGTCAAAGGGCGTCAGGCCCATACTCTTGCAGATCTTGTTACACAGGTGGGAGTGGAAGAACAGCGCCATGCCTCGCACACCTGGAACACAGGCAGGGTCAACATATTGAAATGATTTCTTACCAAACTTCACATATTCAGACGTTTGTCAATATTAAAAAGCAAACTCTACCTAGATTTCCATCTCCAAAGTCCTTCCCTAGCTCTGTGTGGATCTGAGGGTCGGTGTAGATATCTCCGACCCCCTGGATGTCCACCACGATCAGCTGGTGGCCTGACCGCTCAAACGTGAAGTGACTGAAGGCCTTTTGGATGCAAAATAAATTAAAAGGATTAAGTAGTAGGGTTGCAAAATTCCGGGAATTTTCAAAGATGGAAACTTTCCACGGGAATTAACGGGAATTAACAGGAATTAACGGGAATTAACAGGAATAAACGGGAATTAACGGGAATTAACAGGAATAAACGGGAATTTATGGGAATAAACTGGGAATTTTCAAAATTGAAGGTTGGCTCTTCATAGGGAACTTAAATATAGTTGGGGAAAGTATATTTTAGCATAATCTTGACTAAAACAAACAGATGCCATTCAAGTACACTTGAATATCCATGCCATAGCACACTGCATGGCTATTGAGACCACAGAAAGGTTCGCAACAGGCTCACAAATGAGTGGAAAAACTGGTTGGTATTCGGGCAAACCTAAGGCTCTTTGAGCCTGACACACAGCCATCCTCAACAAGGCTGGACAGTGACACTGAAGAGGAAGACTCAGAGTTGGATGTTGATGAGGCCCAGGAAGAGCCCGTTGACTGAAAGGGCTTAGCAAAAATGCAGGGGATCGCTTGAAGGAAGATTTGCATGTTTAATGGGACTTTTTGGAGGGAGAAGGGCTCTTTTCATTTAACATTTTGAATGGGACTTTGTGGGGATTTGTGTTCATTTTTTAATGAGTGGGGTTGGGGGGGATGAGTAACATTTAACTCAACATTCCTGTTTTTGTTCTTCAATGAAACAAATAATTGTTCAATAAAATAATTAAAACTTGTTCTGTTCTACTTAAAAAAAAAAATCTGTTGAAATGTCATGTTTTTTTGTTTAATTTTGCATCGAATATTTCCCAAATTCCCCAGCTTAACTTTCCATGGAAACTTTCCGGAAATGTACCGGAAACTTTCCGCCCCTTTGCAACCCTATTAAGTAGTGACAAGCTCTAACCTGTATCTATTTATTTTTGTATCCACCAATACTGCATACACATGTGGTCGAAGAAGACATACTAACAAATACAAAAGGAACGGTAAAGATTACAAAACATTAAAGGGTACATACACATTTGTGAGTGAAGAGAGGGGAAGTATGTTTGGATCATTTTCATAAAGTCTTTACAGGGTGGTTCGGTGTAATATTATACATTCTTATTGTGTTGTTGTGTTGTGGCATTAGCGGTCAGTGGTAAGGAGATTCATCTTAAGTAAGTTTTGTTAAATTCTTCTTTATAAAAGGTTTAATTGATATGTGTTGTGTTAAGAGCTCTAGCCATTGTGTTATGCTGATCTTTTTCCTACTTTTCCAGTTTAGTAATATTGTTTTCTTGGCAATAGTTAGGGCCACAAGTAGTGGAGTTTTGTTGAGCTTGTGTCTAAATTGCAGAGTATGCATACAGAGGGGGATAGAGGGATGCTACACTCTACTCTAACTGTATTCATACCAAAGGTGATGAAGATGATGGTTACCTGTGGAGTGAGGCGGATGTTGTCGTCCTTCACAAAGCCAGAGTTGGAGTTGTATTTGATGTAGTGGCCCTCGATGTAATGTTCCAGGTGGAAGAGAGGTTTCCCGGGTCTGTCCACCATCTCCATCACACCCATCTGCATGATGTCCACCTGAGGATGGAGAAAGAAACAACACTTTGTTTATTGTTTATCGGGGTGGGGGGGGAAATGTATCTATTCATGATTAAATTCAGAATGTATAGTTATCATGTACGATTCTGATCCTTTATCATTTATTAAAAAAAGAAAAACTAATATTTCCAATGTATTTTTTATAAAAACAACCTAAATATTGCTACTCATGGACAGCAATCCTACACACCAAGTCAAAGACATGTCGAGCATAATGATGATATAGTTTAGTGTTATTTGCTATAAATATTTTTAAATTGGAAAGTTTCCCGATAAATGGTATTAACGCAACCTTATTCGTTTTTACACACATAGAACTTGTTATTCCTGAAGTCCCTGAAAATGAAGAAATACAAAAATAATTGGTCAAAGTTTAGTTTAAAATACATTTGAACTTTTGCCTTGTGTGTTCACATTAATGCAACCATCAAATATATGTTTTTTTAAATGATAATAACTTTATAATTGTATACACACACTTCTATAATCGATTCTAAATGAAAAAAAAATAAGGAATTGTTTTGATTCAAAATATCAAAGATTCACAAATGTACATGACATGTGACATCACAACTTGTCACATGCTACATTTTATTCACCAAAAATAAATCTAAACATTATTAAGTCAATTAACAGAAAAATGATTGGCTTGGCTAGTATTCTGATTTCAGAATAATAGCTTTTGCATTCTTCATGTCTTTTCACCATTTTCTTTTATCAAAAAAACAATAAATAAGTAATAGAATCATGAGTAGCAGGCCTAAATCTAAGCTTAAACTACTTCCCATTATAAAAATAACATGGGTTAAGGATTGTGTATTTGAGGTTTTATCATCAGTATTGTCTGTCTTGTTAAATAGTGGAACATCAGTGAGTTGTAATGTCTCTCTTGTACCTGTTTGGGGGGCCGGTGGCGGCTGTACTCCTCTCCCCACAGTTTGGCCTCCATTTGCAGCCTGACGTCCTCAAAGTAAACGTTCCTGTCCACCGTCTCCATGTACTGCTTGGACACATAGTTAGATGCTGACTTCCACTTGCTGCTGTGTGAGAAATTAGACAACTTCTTGCTGGAGGGAAATAAGAAATAAGATATAACAGTAGTGAGGACAGAAGCATTTCAGTGTTTTGTAAGTATTCGCAGTACATACGTAATAAATATACACAAATGAAGCAATATGTAATTGCTCCAAACCCACATCCCTGTCGCTATAATAGAATAACTTCTAGAGTGTAATATTTGGCTGCACAACAAGGGGTCAACAATGCAACACATAAAGTACTGTACATAAAATATACACTGTTTTCACAATAACTTTTTACCGGCACACATACATGTAAATATATTTAATATATATATATATATATATGTATATGACTAAAATATGTATGTTTATTCAATTCATTTGATATTTTAACAGTTACAAACCTGTATATAATTTTAATTTGATCTTGAATTTTATTAATCTTTAATCTTGTGTGAATCTGTGCTGTCCTGTTTTTCAATCTCACCCTGTTGCTGTTTTAACTAGTGAATTTCCCCACGGGGATTAACAAATGTCCATCTTATCTTATTATTTTTCGTACCATGTTTGGCTCTGAAACTAATCAATTCCTCAGCAGCTGTCCTCCCGAGTCCGAGCCACAAATGTGAGGAATGTGGACCTGCACCACTTATAGGCTAGAAGAGACATGCTGTGCTTTGTTTACACTGAGACCACGAGGACTTCCGTTACTAGAACATGAGGGCAATAACCGCTGGATAACAACTGAGGAATAATTCAACTCACGTCCTGAAGCACTCCCTCATGGCCCCTTTCCCAAACGGCTGTGAGAAACAAGAGAGAGGAAATAAATAAGATAGGTTTTCTTTTTTTTTTTTTTTTAAACAATCCTTCGCCAAAAAACAGGACTACCTGGGAAGCCATCTTAATGTGGACCTGGTCTTGAGCCCACTCTCCTGTGCTGGCATTGTACCTGCAAAGAGGGAAAGAGAATGGAGTCAGAATCAGATGAACGGTCATTTGACTATGCACACTCAAATGTGTTTCTTTAAAGATCTTCTTAAAATCCACATAATCAACATTTTGGTCCCGACTGAACTTATCTCAACATCTGTAGCACGGATAGTGATGCTACAGATGCTCTCGCTGCCTGACAAACCATCAGTTTCTCAGAGCTGCTTTTTTTCTCATCAATTAGTCTTTTAACCAAACTGGTCTCAGGCTTCATAAAAGGTGAGATTTTTTTTTGGTTTTCCATTGACGTAATCTTTGGTGTTTGGACTGTAACTAATCTGAAGGCATCAGCTTGGACTCTGGGCAAATTTCTTTAAATCTGACTTGTTATAGCCTAAAATGTATTGAAGATGAAGAACAGAAAAGTTAAGAGATACCCCACAAACATTATGCATTACATTAATGCACATCATATGAATAACATCTTGTTCTTTTTCCCTTAATACTGTGAGCCATGTTCATGCTCAACTCTGACATTTTTGCACACGTTTGCACAGCCCCCCACTTTAAAAGATAATACACTATAGTTTGCCATAAATTGTCATATTTTCATTGTCCTAAGTGTTTTAGTTTTTTTAGCTTTTAAGGTTCTTTGTATATTTAAATACAAATGTGGTGCAATACTCTAAATATTATTTGTTTTAATGCTAAATTGATCTAAAAATACTTATTTTTTATTATCCTTCTATATTTCTTTTTTTACCTACTATTGCAACTTCTTTTTTTAGATTGTTTATGTTCACACCACCAGATACCAAAGCAAATTCCTTGTATGTGTAACATGGCAATAAACTTGATTCTGATTCTGAAGAGATAAAATGATCTTAAATTGCAGCTCAACCTCCATTACAACTTTTTGGAACTAAGTATACTGCAGCTCAGTGAACTCGCGTCTCTTTCAAAGATCTCGGCTGTGAGACTCTCAGACTGGATCTGCTCTGTGGCGCTTGTTTTTATTTTCCACCTGTTTCATGAATCACTCTCACTGGACGGTCTACGACACTGGCTGGATGCCTGGACTCTTATTTCTGTATTGATTCTTCATCTGTTACTAAAAGAGCTCATAAACGTTCCAGTCTCGATCACAATAGCCACGTTACTCTTTGCACACTGAGTTCGTCTGTAAACAGATCAATTATTAACATAGAACATCTCATTTCCTCTTTACGGAGTATCAACAATGAGAGACACAAATGTGTTTCCTCTTTCTTTCTTTCTTTCTGTACCCATTTCTTTTGGTATAACTATTAAGGGTTAATGTATTTTATGTACTCAGGGAAGAAGTCATATGGTGATAAGAATGTCTGGGTCAGGCTGTCTGTTTGACTTGGCGGGGCGTTTGTCCCGGGTTAATAAGTACAGCATGAGGTGCAGCTGCAAGTCTTCACAGCTGAAAACCTGAAGTGCCTTTATCCTAGAAACTCAGTTAACCTTTCCCTCTCCACTTGAAAAAAAAGAACATTGCTCTATTCCTCGTCCAAAAGCTTTTCTGCCAACAAACAGCTTCAGCCTGAGAACAGAGCGTACTACAGCCACAGTCATTCCATCAGGTCCATACACAGAGAGGGAAGGAGGAGTGAGGTTACAGAAGGATACAATTAGCACATGATGAGAGAGGGCAAATCCTCGCTGCTGGCAATCCCTCCTCTCCGCGCAGTCAATTCCAGTCTTGTTTGTTATGCATCGGACCCAACACACACATACTAGCATAAGAATCCTTTTTCCTGTTTCTCCACCCACACCCATTTATTTCTGTGTCAGCCTTGATGTATAAACCTGCCCACGCCTGAGAGCTCTGCAAGGGGTGTGGATGTTTTTGTAGCTGCCATGTTGGCCATTTATATCTGGCTACACTAAGATTAGAAACACTGACCGATATACGAGCCTGCTGTGAAACCTGCAGCCACCTCAATGGCAGTTCAAGACCGCAGCTGGCTGAGAAATGTGCAAGGGTAGCACATCTTCTCAAAGTCAAGGAGGACAGAATACTATCCCCGAGTTATTGACTCACATCATAGTAAACATATGCTTACGTGTTTGGGCATGAAGCCTTTGTAGGAGGGTTCCCAATGGGGGTGGGTCTCTCTTTTAGTGTCAACAAATACAAACATAAGTTGTAGCTTTATACTCAAGTTACTTATCAATGTTTTTTATTTTGACAATGGGCAGGATGATATTATGTAAAGGTAGTCAGTCATAATGAATGTTTTCACGCGACCAAACGAGATTTTAGAAAAACATTACATTTAATTAAGAAGGTGATCTATTGTAAGCAATCATAATTGTTTTATCTTCATCACCCTGTTGTATATTTTTCAAGAATTTGCTTCATGAGGCAGTACTAGCGGCCGCACTATAAAAACCTAATTTCACCCTCTGTCTGCAACTATAGCCCAGTCTGCCCCGATTGGTTAGCGGGCCAGTTCTCTTTTGATTGGTCAACTGTTTAGAGATGTCCCATGCTGGCCAATAGAAGCGACCAAGTAAACAAAGAAGTCTAATTGAGGTGTTTCAGGCAGGGGAAGGAGTGTGTGGGCGAGAAACTCTATCTGGTGTGACTTGTGGGATTTTAGCCTTTGCAGACCATTTACATGCAGTAAAAACTATATAAAGACACTACAGGAAAGGGAAAACCCCCAAAAGCATAATAGGGCCTCTTTAAGGTGAATTCAGGGTCAGGGTGTTGTGCATGCTGGCTCACTGTCCTAGCTTACTGGGACACTTGATGGGAATGACCCATCTTTTAGGTGCTTGCCCTAAAATATATTTAACATTGATTGACAGCCACACAGAGTTATCCATACCTGTAACGAATACAGGTTTCAGTCACTTTTTCCTCCAGATGGAACTCTGCCCAGGGGTCGGGCATAGCTTTGGCCTTTTCAATGGCATGTTTCCATCTAGCCTGTAGCAATAAACAAACAAAACGTATGAGCTGCTAGTATTTGTTTTTAGGCAAAAACAATGTATAAATGGGAAGATTAGATGGTAAGTCATTCAATGCGAAGAAATGTGAAATGTAATCTGCACAAGAAAGGCAGTTCAAATCCTTTCTTGTGCTCTTCCTGCAAAACCCTTTCTGCCCTGTATTGTGCAGACTAATTGGGAACATATTAATTTCATAGGTTGCACTAATAATGCTCAGTAAATCAGGTTAAGGCGAAGGAAGCCTACGAAGCAGAGCATTTATCAACAAAACTCTGGGAGACGCTAAACTAAAGCCTGCTCACACTTTTTGTTGCAAACCAGGAGGAAAGAAAGGTTAAGGAAGAAATAATTTAAATTAAATGAAAATTATTTGAATTAATAATGAATACATATGTTTTATGGGTTTATTCATTGGTGGTCCACCAAGTTGTAATATTCCATAATGACCTAAATAATTTACTGCTACCTTAATACCAATGCGTACCATGTGATGTTTCACGGCGATCCGAATGCCATTAACAAAAAATAACTTTCTTGGTAAGACCCATGAATCAAGCATTCCTGGTCATCCAAACCTGCACCAGTAACCCAAACCCAGAACTGCACGGCAGTCCTAGTCCCTGTGCAGCTCATGTTTATATTTAGAGCCACGGATTTACATGAATATGAAGGGTTGGAGTGTCTCGTCTGTTTGTGACGAAGAGCAGATGTCAGAACTCATGTTCAACTGTAGGAGTGTTCAAGTTTGCCATCCTGTCAGATATACTACACAAGACAAGGTCACAAGACTTAAGGGTCATATGGGGCAGCCAGTTTTCTAAAAATAGTTTTTGAAGTATAGTTAATTTGGGGGTTTTTAGTCATTTTCTGAAACTTTTCTTTTAATGCTTATAATTAAAAGAGAAATCTAAAAGAAAAATCTGAAAGAAAAATGTGCACATTTGGTCGTAAAAATCTGTAATTTTTTCAGGGTATTTCTTTGAAATAACAGTCAAACAGTCCTTGTGTTTGTTAGAGTTAAATAACTCTAATTGCTGAGAGTTAAATAACTAACAAACTCAAATTAAATAAAGTATGAGAATACAGTGTGGAGGAAGGGAGGATGCATTGATTAGAATACACAGAACACTAAGGGATTGAAATGAAGAGTTACTACAAAAGGAAAAAACAAAGCAGTGAAGGGAAAGGACGGTAAATTAAAGTGGAGTGGGGAAAAGGAGTGTGCAGATAGTCACTGGTGAAGAGTTAGAGGAGGGAGATATCATTTAATCTGTAACATACCCGTGCTTTCTCAGACACAACCTTGTATGGCCGTGTTTCTGCCACTGTTTCTGTTTCATTCTATGCAGAAAGTTAAAGAAAATGGGCGGGTTTTGGTCAGCAAACAAGAAAAAAAAGCATGAAATTCACAGAGCATCCTGAAACAAAACAGCATTAATTGTCTTGATGCTTTACACAACAACACTACACATCCCGGCAGTTGGCTGGTGCACAGTGGCTCTGATAAGACTGAATGAAGCCCTTATGTATCTCACTGCTGATGCACAAAAGGCCACAATATGAGCATTGAAAGACATGAAGCTTGATCACATTTTGGTGAAAACCGCTCTCTGGTGCTTCCTGTTGGAGAGAGTGCAGTTAAGAGGTGTCTGACCAGCTTCAATAAACAGATACACACATACTGGTACGTGTGTGCAGGCAGATGATCTCTCCTTATAAGGCAAAGGGCTGTTCTCACAGAGAATTGCAGAACTAATTGTTTACCATGATGCATGAACACAACAGGCTAAATACACACTGTTTTTTATGCTTCTTTCACTATTCCCCAACACTTGTTTGAACATTTTCTTTCTTTCTTTTTTTTTCTGATACTTTCCATTGTTGCAGAGGCTCACCTTGAACATAAAGGTGGTCTCAGGGGAGTTTGACAGCTGCTTGGAGTAAACCAGATTCTTAAGGTAGTGACAGATTTCCACGGAGGAGTCGTCCAAGATTGGGCAAAAGAAGTGCTTGTGGTACTCGTCGTCATCATCATCATCACTGGCGTTGGCGTCACTGAGAGAGTAGGACCGCTGGTTGGGGTTTTTTTGTTGGACAGGGGGTCTCTTGGCGCTGCCCTCCTCCTCCATAGTGAACATCATGTCGTCCTCCATGGTTTCTGCTGCTGTTGTGTTGACAAAAGACAAGGCTGCACCATGACATCTCCATTAAATGCTAGAGTCAATATAAATATATACTTATAACTTTAAGCACCAGTATGTTATCAAAAGCGATTATATTTGCAGAATGTGGTGTAACAGCTGGCTGCTGCAGAGCGATGAGGACCCAAACAAGATAAAGTTCCGGTGTTACCGTTTAACTGGTGTCACTGGGAACTGATGATATTCTGTAACGTAGGAATGTGTCAGGGGCGTGTACTTTGAGGAGCCATTGTCGAATAACCAGGAAATACACATTTCGATCGCTTCTTCTGTCGTTTACATTCATCTTTTGGTATATTTGGCTGGATAGGAACACTTTGATGCACATTCAGTACCAGTGTGTGAGGTTGTGGTTGCGATGCCGATATCTGGACGTGTACAGCGAGGACTACAAAATGACAATGAGGTTACTGGGGATGTCTGTTCAAAACATTGCACGCTTGAATAAATCATTTAAACCAGTTATTTTTGCCAGACTTATTACTGAATATCGTTCTTAATGTGATACCAAGTCCATCTGAGACCTGTGTACACCTTCAGACAGCCTACAAGTGAAGCACACGTAGTTTACTCACAGTTTGAAAGCAGCGTGGAGAAGTCTTCAGCTGTGGAGCTGTGATCCGCCCAGGTTCAATTGTGATACGACTTCTGTTCTGTGGCTATCAACCAGCGATCATGTTTAATATTAAAGACTACACACATGGGGAGGTGTGTGGCGCAGTGGATAGTCACTGCAGTCAGCATGTCGTTGTGTCCCCGAGCAAGACACTTCACCCCAAATTGCTCCTGTGGGGATTGCCCACAGTATTGAGTATGTAAGTCGCTTTGGATAAAAACATCTAACAAGTAACATGTAATGTAATGTAATACACACATGTATCCCTTATCAAAACGGTATTCTGCACTTCGTAGCACTTATCCAGATAAGATCTAGTGTACACAGGCAGAGCCGGCCCTAGACTTTTGGGGGAATTATTATTTGATTTTATTTTTTGGGGAATTATAATTTCATGCAAAAATCTGTCACACAAGAGGTTGCACATTTAAATGCAGGTGTTGTTATGGCAACGTCAGTGGCCAAACAGCCATATTTACTGCTGCAAATACTTTCAAACATGCTGTCGACACGTAAAGCAGTGGCAACTATGCCACCATTTCAGCTGACTTTTTCTCAGAAATACTGTCACATAACATCCATATATTTAAGTGCTAGGTTGATGCTTAGGACAGGACTCAGGATCAACTGTGTACTCTAAGGTAGCTTCTAGTTTCATGTCGAACAGTAAGTCAACATTTCCCCAGAGAGCTTTCTTTGAAATCACCAGAGGCCTGTACTACGAAGCTGGTTCAACCTAACCTGGATATGTTTGAGTTAGCCGGTTGGCCCAATCCAAAACATACGCGCTCTCGCTAAACTGTACTACTGGTTATCAAGTGGATCGCTCAAGCCAGCCGTGTCCTATCTAGTTAGGTGCGCGTTCACATGAAATGGGTGGTATTTGGAGCATTCGACCAATCTCAAACATGGACAAGCGTACTGACAGCGCAGCGTCATACTTCCTGAATGAAAAGTGAACTTTAATATTAGTCAAATATGAAGAAGTTCAACTTTAAACATCCATGACTTAAACACTTTATCCAGGATAAAAGCCACACAGCTGCACCTGCAAGGTGAATACAGCTGGTAAAAGAACAAGCGTTTGAATGCGTACATTAACAGGTTTATGATATTACTGCCCCGTCCAAGACACGAGTGGATCTGACTTTAATTACATTTAACTCGAGTGTTTCGTAGTACAGGCCTCCTGCTAGAACATAAGTAACCGGATCAGAGTAACATTAAGTACAGTCCGCGGCACTGTGAGTGCAGACGTCGATGTGTCCCATTATCATTCATATCATATCACATCATAATGTATCATATATTTCCTTATTTGAGTCAGCTTCTTGAGCCGTATCTGGCCGTGCAACACTCAGTGTCACATACTGTATGCAGAAGTATTATTTTAAGCAACACATTAAGTTGACGAAACACTCGAGTCAAAAGTAATTAAAGTCAGATCCACTCGTGTCTTGGACGGGGCAGGTTAGGAAAATCCGGCTTCGTAGTACAGGCCTCTGGTAACGCTAAAAAACATAACATTTAGATTGTATGACAAAGTGTTTATTTAATATATCTGGCTAGCTATAGCTACTTGCTAACGGTTTAGCTTACCCCCGCGATTCAAAGTAACGTCACAACGTAGCTGTAATTTATGCTTTGCTTACATGTTCGCATAACTTGGAAGTTTACTGACATTTACATACCTTGTTTACCTGGCTCAAGCGGTGGCTCTGGGGTTGTTGTTTGAGCCACCACTTGATGTCATGATGAGGTTCAGGTAAAGCACGGTTAATGTATTATATTATTGACTCAATAATATAATACATGACTTTGAGAGTAGGCAATCTAGGCATATTAACACAATTAATTAAACCTACTTATCACGGCGACGGTGTACTGAGATTTGTTTTTGTTTTCCTTTTTTCTTTTGTTCCCCTTGTTTTCTTTTTTTGCTAGGGGGCCCTTAGTGGCTGCTTATGTCGCTTAATGGGACGGGCCGGCTCTGTACACAGGTCTCAGATGGACTTGGCATCACATTAAGAACGATATTCAGTAATAAGTCTGGCAAAAATAACTGGTTTAAATGATTTATTCAAGCGTGCAATGTTTTGAACAGACATCCCCAGTAACCTCATTGTCATTTTGTAGTCCTCGCTGTACACGTCCGGATATCGGCATCGCTACCACAACCTCACACACTGGTACTGAATGTGCATCAAAGTGTTCCTATCCAGCCACATATACCTAAAGATGAATGTAAACGACAGAAGAAGCGATCGAAATGTGTATTTCATGGTTATTCGACAATGGCTCCTCAAAGTACACGCCCCTGACACATTCCTACCGTTACAGAATATCACCAGTTCCCAGTGACACCAGTTATACGGTAACACCTGCACTCATGCTGCTGGTGCAATGTGCTCCCATGCGAGGCAACTATTGATATTGTCAAGCTAAAGTATGCTGCAATACAATTTCACCAAAGGCATTTTTGATTTACTGTTAGATGCACGTATTAAATAAACAACCTACCTTATAACTGGAAACAAATACACCTTTATTCACTCAATCTTGACTGACTGAGGGACAGTGTAGCCTGTTCTTCTGGTGCCTCGAAGTTTCAGAAAGAATGTACAGCTGCAGTAAAACTCTCCTCCCAGACCAGACTGGGTCGGGCCTGCTTCTCCAATCCTGAAGGTCCGGGGACGTGTCTGGCATTTATACATCCATGGTCTGGCAGCAGGGATTAAGTTGTCGTTACCGTCCTCCACGGCGACGTGAGCTCTCGGCACGTATACCACTACTGCTCTCTGACAGACACGCCCCAACGTCCTGCTGCGTTCATGGTTATCGGAAATACAAAATATCAACAGATGATATTAAAGTGATGAACAGGAGTCTTTTAAAATGTAAATTACTTCCAAGAATGTGTTATTTGAAAACTTAAAGTTAATTGTAATTTGAAAACATATAAGCAGTAACATTATCTTAAATCGGAAACGCGTCATATGGTAGTTAAGACTGCGGAAGAGCATTTGAAAGCAGCACCGGATTAATTACATATTACAGCTAACTGTAAAGTGGGTTTAGATATGCACAGTCAGTGAAGTACACATAAACAAGTATCATTGACAGTTTAGACACCCGAGACCCGAGTATTCAACCTACAGAAAATAGCTTAGTCAGGGGTTTCTGACTACACATATAAGATATGTAAGAGAAAAGTCCAACAGGTGATATGTGACACAACCTAATGTAAATGCAAACAACCAGCTCAATAGTTGCACCACGAGTTAGCAATGATTTCAAAGTGGTTACTCCCTTTAACCCTGCACCACTCGAAATAAGTTAAATAAAGACCCAGCTGATTACGTCTACGTGTAGCCAGTCTAAAAAAAAGCACTAACAGAATGGTTTAAAGGACACCTATCATGCTATATTTAAATGATATATTGTAGGGCCATACCTATATAAGGTATATTTATACGTTTCTGTTTTCAAAATACCAAACAGATCATGCATTTTAGCCATGCCTCATTTCGCTCTATGTGCTGTTTGCTGTCTACCGGTTGATTTTGTGAGCTGCAGCTGACCACGCCCCCCTGCAGGAGAGGGAAGCCCTGCTCTGATCAAGTCAAGAGGGGGAGAAAAAAAGATCTCCGTCCTCCGTGTTTTATTTATATATACAGTCTCTGGTTTTATTATATTATTATAGGCCTATAGACAGGGGTGCACACAACTTTCTCAGTGAGGTACTCAGATGAGTACCTGGAGTCAGTGTTTGGTACTCCAACTTCTGACGATTGTCAACGGGGGGGGGGGGGGTGGCGTCAGTGGAGTACAGCGCTTCGCGATTGTCAACGGGGGGTGGAGTACGTTGTGATCAGCTGTTTTAGCGCAGGGCTGCTGTACAGACCGACGTTAACAGCAGCCCTGTCTGTGCACACGGAGACCGACTCTGTCGTCCGGTGAACTAACCGCCTTCTGGAAAAAGCTTCTTATGTGCACCCCTGCCTATAGAGTCGTTATTCATTTGTTTTAAAGCTCAATAAATAACAAAGAAGACCTTTGACCGGCACTTTTCTAATTTTGTCTGGAAGATTTCAACTTTAACGGACATCTTGACCGGCGAAAGAAACTGAAACTGAAACTCTGCCGCACGGTCCCCTCGTTCCTTGGAAGAGGCGGAGAGGTGGGTGTTTGTCATCTGCTGGTGGACTAACCGGAGAGAATTACAGTGCTTGCCTCGACGGGGAGGGATTGCATTGAATTAAAGCAGCGGGAGCAAACGCTTGCCTCGGGGAGGGAGAAAAAAAGCCACAGTGGAGAATAAACAGAAGGGTAACCATGGTAACTATGGGCGGGAAGTCTTCTTCGCTGCTTTTGTGGCAGAATACAGCGCCACTTACAGACCTGGCATATGTACTACAGCGTCTCCAGCGCTTTTGAGCGGCAATGGCCGGCCGTGGCCCAACCCCACATTCCCCTGATAGGTGGAGAGTTGGCCCTATAGAGTGGCGAAGTCCCTCCCACTTACTTCCGGGGTATGGGACCTTATTTCGGAAAAATTATGCATTGAAGTCAATGGGGAGAGAAAACGTATCTTTCGATCCCGTTTGAATTGTGCCATGAATTACACATATGATGTTTGTCAATCTTAAAAAATCATTTCCATGTCAAAAAAGTCACAGTTTGTCGTAAAACTGTTGAAATATAAGACTATGAAAAATACGTAACTAGAAAGACTACAAATCCCAGAGTCGCGTAAGTGATGTCACAATTGTTTACCTCCACCATTCAGATACCTAAGATCAGCGCAATATAGATATAATCTATCTATATGGCGCTGGCTAAGATAAGATAACTTTAACAAGATGCCTGTGTGCTTAGTACCAGGTTGTTATTATACCAGCAATGGGTCTTGCTCGTTCTTTTGCTTCCCGTCTGATGAAACGACCAGGAGTGGCTTGATCAAGTTAGCTACCTAGCTAGTAGCTAGCACGTTAGTTAGCATTACAGCCTTGTCATTTTTATTAGCCTTAACATGAAGTAACATTAAGTAACCCAAAATGTTAAACAGTAAGAGTAGTAGTCATATTTCGTGAACCCTTTGAATAGTACTGTCACCGGTGTGATCATTCTATAATACACCATTTAATTCACGACGCTGAAGTTGGCTTCCGATTCAGAGCTTCCGATTCGGCAGTTAAGGGGAAAGTTAAGGGAAATTTAATTTACAGCGCTGAGCGAACAGTTGGCTTCCGATTCAGAGCTTCCGATTCGGCAGTTAAGGGGAAAGTTAAGGGACATTTAATTTACAGCGCTGAGCGAACAATCCTCCGTGTTTGAACCTCTTAAATTGCTGCATCGCCGATTTATTTGGACTGGATTATCCCAGAGAGGCTAAACATTCTTTATAACACAGTTTTAGATTTGTGAAACCTTAATTCTATTTGTGAAAATACAAAAAAGAGAGATTTCAGTGCTTTTTAGCATCCTGGCCACATTAGACCAGGTCCTGATCCAAAACCACTATAGCTAGACTCATCAAATCTGGACTGGATTATCCCAGAGAGGCTAAACATTCTTTATAAGACAGTTTCAGATTTGTGAAACCTTAATTCTATTTGTGAAAATAAAAAAAGAGAGATTTCAGTGCTTTTTTTACATCTAGACCACATTAGACCAGGTCCTGATCCAAAACCACTATAGCTAGACTCATCAAATCTGGACTGGATTATCCCAGAGAGGCTAAACATTCTTTATAACACAGTTTCAGATTTGTGAAACCTTAATTCTATTTGTGAAAATACAAAAAAGGGAGATTTCAGTGCTTTTTAGCATCCTGGCCACATTAGACCAGGTCCTGATCCAAAACCACTATAGCTAGACTCATCAAATCTGGACTGGATTATCCCAGAGAGGCTAAACATTCTTTATAACACAGTTTCAGATTTGTGAAACCTTAATTCTATTTGTGAAAATACAAAAAAGAGAGATTTCAGTGCTTTTTAGCATCCTGGCCACATTAGACCAGGTCCTGATCCAAAACCACTATAGCTAGACTCATCAAATCTGGACTGGATTATCCCAGAGAGGCTAAACATTCTTTATAACACAGTTTCAGATTTGTGAAACCTTAATTCTATTTGTGAAAATACAAAAAAGGGAGATTTCAGTGCTTTTTAGCATCCTGGCCACATTAGACCAGGTCCTGATCCAAAACCACTATAGCTAGACTCATCAAATCTGGACTGGATTATCCCAGAGAGGCTAAACATTCTTTATAACACAGTTTCAGATTTGTGAAACCTTAATTCTATTTGTGAAAATAAAAAAAGAGAGATTTCAGTGCTTTTTTTACATCTAGACCACATTAGACCAGGTCCTGATCCAAAACCACTATAGCTAGACTCATCAAATCTGGACTGGATTATCCCAGAGAGGCTAAACATTCTTTATAACACAGTTTCAGATTTGTGAAACCTTAATTCTATTTGTGAAAATACAAAAAAGGGAGATTTCAGTGCTTTTTAGCATCCTGGCCACATTAGACCAGGTCCTGATCCAAAACCACTATAGCTAGACTCATCAAATCTGGACTGGGTTATCCCAGAGAGGCTAAACATTCTTTATAACACAGTTTCAGATTTGTGAAACCTTAATTCTATTTGTGAAAATACAAAAAAGAGAGATTTCAGTGCTTTTTAGCATCCTGGCCACATTAGACCAGGTCCTGATCCAAAACCACTATAGCTAGACTCATCAAATCTGGACTGGATTATCCCAGAGAGGCTAAACATTCTTTATAACACAGTTTCAGATTTGTGAAACCTTAATTCTATTTGTGAAAATACAAAAAAGGGAGATTTCAGTGCTTTTTAGCATCCTGGCCACATTAGACCAGGTCCTGATCCAAAACCACTATAGCTAGACTCATCAAATCTGGACTGGATTATCCCAGAGAGGCTAAACATTCTTTATAACACAGTTTCAGATTTGTGAAACCTTAATTCTATTTGTGAAAATACAAAAAAGAGAGATTTCAGTGCTTTTTAGCATCCTGGCCACATTAGACCAGGTCCTGATCCAAAACCACTATAGCTAGACTCATCAAATCTAGACTGGATTATCCCAGAGAGGCTAAACATTCTTTATAACACAGTTTCAGATTTGTGAAACCTTAATTCTATTTGTGAAAATAAAAAAAGAGAGATTTCAGTGCTTTTTAGCATCCTGGCCACATTATCATTATCACATTATCCTGGCCACACACATGGCCTTTTTGATCAAAGGGAGTGGTCACAGGGAAAGCTGCTGTGGCTGAACACAATAGCCAGATTCAAAGGACAATCATGGGATGCATTTGGGACTGAGGAGGACATGGTTGTTTCTCGACTGGACTACCTTCAAAAAACAGAAATAACCCAAACGTGCCAGAATGTGGCTTGCCCTGTCGCCAAAAGGACATGCAACTCAGTTGATATAATGTAAGTATTTCCCTATTTTGTGAAATTAAATTAATATAATGTATTTATTAAATCAAATGAATGTACTTGTAAGCAATAGTATAATTTATTGCATCCAAAAAGAAAGTCTCATGAGTTAAAGATTGCAGAGATTGGTCATATTTAAGTTAATTTACTTGTCTTTTTCAATTATGTTTTATTCCCTTTCAAGATGTGCAGATTTTGGGAACATACAGGCTGATGTCGACAAGTGGGCGAATGAGTCCCTAAAAGTTCTTCCTTGCAAGAGGTAAGTACCATATGTATTTCAGATAATTCATTGTAAAATGTATATGCCAAACAGTTCCATTGATCTACATTGTAAATAAATTATTGAGGTATGAAGACCAACTATATCCCTCGCTGACCTTGATGAATCACTTAGATATGTGACCATTGTCCTGTAACGTTCAAATGTTATCAAGAAAATTGAAATATTCTGAACCTAGTCGTAGGAAGTTAACACAATTGAAAGCAACAGGACAATATCACCCATATGTTTACAACTTCACTGAACCAATTTCAAGCCTTGCAATCAAGGGTGATCAGGATTTATTTGTTAAAGTTTCAATGCTATAGAGGTCTTATGTATGTTGGGTCTATCATTTCATTTTATTAAGCCAATTATTATTTATTTTTCCTTTTATCTCAACAGAGGTTTGAAACAATGCACTTTTAAGGAGACAACAGTGCAGCGTGTCTTCGTGCATGGAGAGCCTTGTATTTTATTACTTTCAGTAATAAACCAGGGGAAGCTAACCAACAAGCATCATCCTACAGCCTTGCCACATCTGGTTACAATTCTTGGTGGAATGTAAGACTTACATACAGTCATGTCTTTGGCTGTGCTCAAATGTTGCTGTCTGTTTTAACTTGTTCCATTTGTTTATATTGCTATTTCACACAGTCTTTGTACAATACTCTTGTCACAAAGGTATGAGCCAGCTGCTGTGACATATCACCTGGGGCCTGCAAATCACTTTGTGGCATTCCACAAATTGGGTTTAGATAGAAGCTGGCATTTCTATGATGGCCTTAAAGAAAATGAAAAGCCTGGAAGAGGAGATACCGTCATCAAAGAGACGACCATCCAAAGAAAACTTGGGGCTAACTCCCGTGTTGGCCACATTGTTATGGTCCGGGTAAGTATGGACAGCTAATTAAGGAAGAATAAAGTCTTTACTTCTTAAAGTTATTCTAATTTTTTTGTTGCAAATAAAAATTCAACAGATAAGTAGGTATACTTATATAAACTTAATGTATTTACAGTTGCAGGCAAAACATTTAAACAGGAAATTAAATATAGTCTATAACTAGCATTGTTCAAGTTTACTTTAAGCAACAAGCTTTGTTTGCCTAATTACAGTATGTCATCTTGAGTACTAGGATTGCTTGGAATGTGAAAGACATTACAAGATTAGAAGATAACACTTTGGTAACAATGGTATGAGAAAGTTAGTTCATTTTAATCCTGTCTTCTCTAATCCCTCAGAAAAATAATTGCTATTCATATTTTGCTTTAGGACAAAGCAGCAGAAGCTGTTCAAAGTGGATGAAAGACTGAAGGTTAGCCTATTTCTTTATCTCATGAACCTGAATTCCTTTAACATCTCATTCATTTATTTGTTTGCTATGAAACAGTATTTAAGATACGAAAACTTAGTAGCTAAATAATTATCACCTAAATGAGGAGCATACACTTATTTTTATTTTTATTTATTTATTCATTTGTTTAACAGGGACAGTGCACATTAATTAACATTGCTGTAAACGTGCCAGAGTTAGCCAAGAGGCTATTGTTCATCTGTTGTCCCTGGACAGATTTGATAAGTCAACCTAAAACATATTTCATTTAAACAAGTAAATACAATCAAATTAAAACATGCAACATACATTACTGGAATACTTAAATAAATAAAAAGACAGAATAATAAAACAAAACAAAAGAACATGTTAAAACACAGACAGTGGGTTGTAAGGAGCAGAAGATTGTGTCAGTGTTTCAGAGCTGATTCCTCACTAACCATGTTTTGAGTTGGGATTTAAATAAACTAAACGTAGTCTGTTCTCTGATTGTAGATGGGATTGAGTTTCAGCTCTGTGAAAACCTGAGTGGAGTCCAGCGACAGCTGAACTACATGTGTCTGTGAAAAAGGCCTCTGCTCAGATATTAAAGGATGGAGACCCTCTCACAGCTGCATACTGGACTGAGTGTCATGGTTTTGGTTTGTTGTTTTCATTTTCGGTTTTGTTATGTTAAGTTGTTCCTTGTTTTCTTTTGCCATTCAGGAAAATAAAGCTTGCTTTTGGTTACCTGACCTTTTAGTCCTTTTACTGCATTTGGGTCCTATTTTAGTTGTTCTGCTTTATGATTGTAATGCATGACTGTGCCAACATGTGTCTCCTCCTCCCTGCTCTTGTTTGTAGGCTGCACCTGCTTTTCAGGAGACCAGGCCTCGCAATTATGTTCTTTCTGCCAGTGCATCAGCGGTAAGACTCCATCACAAACTGCAGGGTCTGTCACCCAGCAGGAGCTAAGCTAACATGCTAACAGGCACAGAGCCTTAGAACACCACATACTCCAAAAGACAGATGATGTAGCTCACATCAGGGCACAGAGCTGCTGCAGCCTCACCTTGAGCAGCAGTCAAAAAAGCACTGAAATCTCTCTTTTTTGTATTTTCACAAATAGAATTAAGGTTTCACAAATCTAAAACTGTGTTATAAAGAATGTTTAGCCTCTCTGGGATAATCCAGTCCAGATTTGATGAGTCTAGCTATAGTGGTTTTGGATCAGGACCTGGTCTAATGTGGTCTAGATGTAAAAAAAGCACTGAAATCTCTCTTTTTTAATTTTCACAAATAGAATTAAGGTTTCACAAATCTGAAACTGTGTTATAAAGAATGTTTAGACCCTCTGGGATAATCCAGTCCAAATAAATCGGCTATGCAGCGATTTAAGAGGTTCAAACACGGAGGATTGTTCGCTCAGCGCTGTAAATTAAATTTCCCTTAACTTTCCCCTTAACTGCCAAATCGGAAGCTCTGAATCGGAAGCCAACTTCAGCGTCGTATTTAATTCCGGGGGAGAAATGCTAACGCTAACGTTAGCATCGGCGATCTTTTCTACTTCATGCTATCTGCACAAATGGTTGACATTAAACATTAAAACGACCAGGCAGTTCAGAGAGAATCAAAGGAAGGCAGGCAGGCAGCTTTGCATGACATTCTTCAGGACGTGTTTCATTGTGGTGATAGTCAATCGTTTGTTGACAAGACAGTAGTGACGGCCATCTTGGTGACGTGTGTTGTTGACCAGAGATGTAGTTCATTTAGCGTTTCACACAAACAAATGTGTTACTTCACAGTTTTACGACAAATTTTTTTTTTTTTGACTTGCAAAATTATCTTTTAAATTGACAAACACCATATGTGTAATTCGTGGCACAATTCAAACGGGATCGAAAGATAATCTTTCTCTCTCCATTGACTTCAATGCATAACTTTTCCGAAATAAGGTCCCATGGAGGTCCACCGGAAGGGGAGGGACTTCGCCACTCTATAGAGGAATTAAATGGTGTATTATAGAATGATCACACTGGTGACAGTACTATTCAAAGGGTTCACGAAATATGACTACTACTCTTACTGTTTAACATTTTGGGTTACTTAATGTTACTTCATGTTAAGGCTAATAAAAATGACAAGGCTGTAATGCTAACTAACGTGCTAGCTACTAGCTAGGTAGCTAACTTGATCAAGCCACTCCTGGTCGTTTCATCAGACGGGAAGCAAAAGAACGAGCAAGACCCATTGCTGGTATAATAACAACCTGGTACTAAGCACACAGGCATCTTGTTAAAGTTATCTTATCTTAGCCAGCGCCATATAGATAGATTATATCTATATTGCGCTGATCTTAGGTATCTGAATGGTGGAGGTAAACAATTGTGACATCACTTACGCGACTCTGGGATTTGTAGTCTTTCTAGTTACGTATTTTTCATAGTCTTATATTTCAACAGTTTTACGACAAACTGTGACTTTTTTGACATGGAAATGATTTTTTAAGATTGACAAACATCATATGTGTAATTCATGGCACAATTCAAACGGGATCGAAAGATAAGTTTTCTCTCCCATTGACTTCAATGCATAATTTTTCCGAAATAAGGTCCCATATCCCGGAAGTAAGTGGGAGGGACTTCGCCACTCTATAGCCGTAGCGCCACTTCTGTGACGTCATAGAAGTGTTCAAATCTGGATCAGTCTGTATCAGATCAGACCCTTTTTTAGAGATTTGGGTATGGAGGAAAATAGAGAGGGTTGTGTTTTCTGACACTTGGTGAGTTCCCTGGAACACCGGGGACACATATTCATGTATAAAAGACGTACAAAAATGCATTTTGCATGATAGGTCCCCTTTAAATAAGTAAAACCACACCCGAACATTAGAATTAAATATTTTGATCTAACTAATCGAGACAATGTGGTAGCGTGGCCGAGTGGTCTAAGGCGCTGGATTTAGGCTCCAGTCATTTCGATGGCGTGGGTTCGAATCCCACCGCTGCCAAAATCTTTTCATCTACTTGATATTTTATTAAAATACAGGTTGTAAATAAACGATACCCATCGATTGAGTTATTTATAAGATAGAGAAAACATAAAGATATTCTCTTGTTATGAACTACCTAAATGCACTACAATCACTCCCACATCATGCTCTTCAATCAGCTGAATTTCTTGGGCATGTGGCCTACCTAGCTTACTCCCAATGAAACAATTGACAACCCCCAATATATCCGGGTATCAATCAGAATGAAAATAATTGGCTTGATTACAAAATTCGTTTTTTATATCCACCTTTATAAATAAATTAACCGTACAGTAACTGTTAGCAAACGCCGGCTAACGAAGTGTAAACAGAGCATCAGATAAACGGAGTATTTGGAATGCTAATAGCTGAGTTAAACTTAATGACAACTCGATACAACAGTTTAAATGAATCCTACACTTAAGCAATAGCTCACGACAGGCCATGGTATATGCTCATTATATCACAGCTAAGGGGCGTGGTTCGGCCCGACGCGAAGCGGAGGGTCGACAACCCCCTTAGCTGTGATATAATGAGCATATATCACGGCCTGAAGTGAGCTATTGCTTTTATAAAACGGTTACCAAGTGTGGCAATATGAAAGAAAAATACACACTCTAATTTAAATAGTTTTTATTAGTAAATAATGATGTTCAAAATAAAATAGTCCCTCTGTTGCCTTCTGCACGAAACATAGTGCGAGGTGGTTGCTATGCAACAACACTAACAACAACTAGCGAACATATTAGACAGAGAGCGTTGATCCATTATTTGGCTATTTATTTACATTAATGTGTATGTTGCCGTTTATTGTGCACCCACTGAAAAACTGTCCAGCATCAGTAGCATAGCTTACGTGGTTACTTGTATAGGCTGAGGTTGTTCTAGGCTGTTGCTTTGCGTGGCGAGAATATTGCTCCACTTTCTCCGGTCCCCGAGATTCGGCTTCCAGTAGCTCTGGAGAGAGCTTTTGCACCTGTGGCCACTAACGGTCATAATTTCTCTGCTTTGTTTCAAGACCCGCATCAGAAAGCTTTTGAATGGTGATCCTTTTCCAGTTGGTCTACCTGCTCTTCACGTAGCTCTACATGTCGTCGTTTAGGTGCTTTTTGTTCTGGAGATAGGCACTCCTCAATCCACTCCTCCATAGTAAGACCCCCCGGAGGTCGAAGTTAATCTTAAATGTTTTTGCGGACCTTTTTGATTACAGATTTGAAAACATGGTTGCTTGCTTTAAAAGTAGCACAATTCATTATATCAAACCTTGGAAAGTATCTAAATATCCCTGCCCTAATGCCAAAGGAACTGCACACTGAATATGTTTTTGCCGTTTGATGTCTATGTCTGGACCGTTGCGTAAAAAGGAGGGTTTCTGCCCCGTTACTTCTCCGCTGCTTTCTTGTTCCAGTTTGAAAAGCAAACTGCTTGCAGTTTGCTTTTCAGCCCAACTGTATACTGTTTATCTCAGACGCGGAGGGATACTGACTTGTTGTGAAAAGTAACTTACAATTCTACCCGTGGTATACGCTCAGTATACCACGGCTAAGAACCAATCAGATTGCTTGATTTTACTTGTCCGTTTTATAATGATGGTTATATCACATACAGAACTGTAGTAAGACTCACCGTGTTAATATCGACTTTTAAACTTTGATAGCGTCCGTTGTTTTCACTTTGTACGCCCCCTACGAAAACAAAAACTCTCTAACATTGCCTTCTATGCTTCAACATTTCTCCGCCGTGATTGGTCAAATGCTGAACGAATGTTGGAGCAACGAACATAATTGGCCAACAAATGTTGGCGCTCGCCCTCTCATTGGCCAACGAATGTAGGAGCTCCCACTCTCATTGGCCAACGAATGTTGATTGATTGATTGATTGAAAAGTTTATTAACAGCTTGTATATTGGGTACAGTACAGTACAGCTCAAAACATACAATTGTTAAGGGGATGCAGACCAGAGAAAGACTTTCGTCTTGTTTACATCAGGGTCCCCCATTTCCAATTCATCATATCATTTAAGACATATAAGACATATTTGACATACAGATGGCTTATTTACAATTTACATACAGGTGTTTTTTTACATATGGCTTATTTACAATTTTCATTTTAGATTTCGTTTTAATACATCCTAACCGGATATTTAAGACATACCAAGTCTACAGATATACAGTTAGTAACAGAGTCTAAAATGCGAGTACCGGTATATACATAGATGGGGGGGGGAAGCTGTCCATTGTACGACAGGTTGAGATTTGTACCATTACCGGGGCCAGTTTTGCAATGCTCTCCCCCGAAGGTGCTCTTTAAGAGAGGTTTTGAAGGTAAGTATAGTTTTACTTTCCTTTACAGTTGTGGGAAGAGCGTTCCACCTTGATGTGGCATAATTGCGAAACGTGTATTCCCCCTTTTTTGTGCCAAATCTGGGTTTTACATGATTTGTGGAGCTCCCTCTGGTGTTATGATCATGGTATTCCTTGACCTTTGGGAAGAATTTTGACATGTACATGGGTACCATAGAGGTGTAGTGGATCTTGTAGACCAGGCCCATTGCAAGTAGCTGTACTCTGTCGTCTACTCTAAGCCATCCTAGGTTGTCAAAGTGGGCAGAGGTGAGGTGGGTTCTAGATGAAAGGTCAAGCAGTAGTCTGACCAGTTTATTTTGCGATGTTTGAAGTTTTATTTTTAGCGCCTTGGAGGTGCTATGGTACCATGACGTGCAAGCATAGTCATAGTACCCTTGAATGAGTGCTCCTGCCAGAGTTTTCAGGGTTATTTTGTTTACCAGAGAGGAGATCCGGTATAGGAATCTAGTTCTTTGATTGACTTTTTTTATTACATTGGATGCCATTTTGTCACAGGAGAGGTTTGCCTCAAGAATAGATCCTAGGTATGTCATTTCCTTCTTACTTGTGACAATAATGTCACCCACTGCAACTGAGAAGTCGTCGGATTTGCTGAGATTATGTTTCGAACCGAAGAGAATGGACTCTGTTTTACCCAGGTGTAATGATAATTTATTATCGGCGAGCCAGGTGCAGATTCTGCCGAGCTCGGAGCTGAGGGTTTTTTCAACCTGCAATCTGCTCCTGTCAGAGACCAGCAGGGCTGAGTCGTCCGCGAACAGGAACAAGTTGCAGTCACATGCTGATGACATGTCATTTGCATAAATTAGGAACAGTAACGGACCTAATATGCTTCCTTGTGGAACACCACAGCTCACTGGGAGGGGGGGGGGACAGAGTACCGTTTACCTCCACCATCTGTTCTCTCCCCTCCAGGTAGGATTGCATCCAGCTCACCGATAGTTTATCAAAACTAATTGCTTTTAGCTTGTCAATCAGAATGGGGTGATTGACAGTGTCGAAAGCTGTTAAGGCTCCAGTCATTTCGATGGCGCGTGTTCGAAACCGACCGCTCCAAAAATATTTTAATTTGCTTAATATTATATCTAAATAACGGTTGTTAATACATGAAACCCATTGATGGACATATTTATAAGCAGAGGTGGGAAAGTATTCAGATTTTGTACTTAAGAAAAAGTACAAGAGTGTAGGAATACAAGTAAAAGTCCTGCAATCCAAATGCTACTCAAGTAAAAGTAGAAGAACTTGGCACCAAATATACTTAAAGTACCAAAGGTAAAAGTATTAATTGTGCAGATATATCACATGTTTCGATAAAAAAATATTGATGCGTGAGTGTTATGAGAGCTGGTAAAGGTGTATCTAATTTGATTTACTTTGTATACTGCAGCGTAGCTTGTGAATTTTACTCCAGGTGTAATTCATGTCTTGAAGTGGTGTTTAAATGTTACATTATTAATCCAAATCTGCAATGTTATTTAAAGTATTACATAAATGTATAGTGGAGTAAAAGTACACTTTTTACCTCTGAATTGTTGTGGAGTAGAAGTACAAAGTAGCATAAAATGGAAGACACAAGTACGTCAAAATTGTACAGTACTGAAGTAAATCTACTTAGTTACTTTACACCACTGTTTATAAGATAGAGAAAACAAAAATATACTTTTCTCTTGTTATGCACTTCCTAAAATCACTGCATAGCAGTGCCATCTTGTGGCTGTTCAGTTACTGCGTTCTTGAACTCATTCTCACTAACAATACATTTTTATGACTAAAAAGCAATAATGGAAGATGAAACGTCTGTCAACAGATGCATATATGTCTACTGAGCCCTGCCACTTCTAACCAGAATATGATGTACACAACACAAAAAAAACTCTCAATTTAAATATCTGCAACCAAACTCTTCTATCTTGGCCACATTTTCTTTTATAAAAGGAGGCTGAGATCAAGAAATAATTTTTCACAACAAAGAAAAATAATTAAAACTAATAAGAAATCCTTAAGTTTTTATGTTGTAATATTGTTATTGCACAAAATGGAGCAAGTGTACCCAATATCTTGTTGGCTTTACACTGTGTCACTTCACTGAAAATATAACAGACATTATAAATAAAAAAGGAAACAGACTGTTTCTCGAGAGAGCAGTTCATCACATTTAATAAGAATCACAGAAAACTTAATGAATTGTGATGAATAATGATATAAAGATTCAAAAAGTGACTCCAAGTATACAGTAATTGTCGCGTGTTTGACATCCTGACGTCTCTATCTAGATTGGTCTGTGTACTTTTTCTACGATCAGTCCTGGTGATAAGAATACATATCTTGGAATAATCAGGTTTTACTGGGCCCTGACTTTTTCCTTTATATGCTGCGAAGCCACAAGTTGCATTTTCTGGATGGCTAGCTGCGTATCTTCAGGAGAAATCCCAAGATGCCATACAGCCCGTACTGTATTAGAAAAATGGGGGTACATGAGAACTTGTATCCCCTGTCCCAGTGCTGCCTCCTCTCCTTCGCCAACCTCAGCCATGCGAGCACAGAACTCAGAGGGGCTTAAAGTGGGCTCCTGTATACGGAAACGCAGGATGTTTGTCTCCACGGTGGCCATGTCTACAGCGAATACAGCAGGGTCACATTCAAGCAGAGCTGGGAGGAGAAAAGAAACGAGAAAAAGTTACAAGCAGTGAGCTAATGATTGATCTTTTATAGACTTTATTATGAGCTTTACCTTGAGCAAAGGTTTTTGCATTGTGGTGATCTTCCTCCAGTCTTCCAACCATCTCTAGTAAAGACAGTTTTCCAGCTGCTGCAAGGATACCAGCCTGCCGCATCCCCCCACCCAGGGCTTTACGGCACCGCACTGCCCGGGTTATGAAGTCTTTGGGTCCAGCCAGTATGGTTCCCACCGGGGAACCCAGACCCTGTGACACACGTAATGTAAAGTTGTATTTTGTTTGCCTCCAAGTTTTTTGTTGGTTCTGACTCTGTTCACATAACATTTCTCCCCCAAAACTCATGTTTAGGTCCATTCTACTCAATGTTATACTTAATTATCATTGATGCTGCTGTCATGACACCTGAATTTCCCTCTGGGGATTAATAAACAAAATGTAGGTTTATGTGTCCTCTGTGTGTGTTTGTGTTTTGCAGTCCCACCTTGGAGAGGCACACACTGACGGTGTGTGTGTGCTGCAGTATGGTGGATGGAGGCAGCCCCATGGCCACAGCAGCGTTCATCACCCGGGCTCCATCCATGTGAACTGACAGACCATATCTATCTGCAAGAGCACGGACCTTGGAGATGGAAACAAACCTGTGAGCGATGCAGCATCTTCCATTCTGTTGTGTTAAGGCAAGTATCATGGCTACTTTCACATGTTGACACACAAAGGTTTTATCTACCAGAGTACCATGGACAGATAATGAAAGAATGGTACATAAATAGTTTTTAGCAATATACTTCATATACCTATTCTACTTTATTTGATTTAATCATGTAATGTTGAGTATTCATTATAAACGTGTTTGATCTTAATTTATCTTATTCTCATATTGGGTTTGGTTTTTATTGTGGATTGTCAAGAATGTGATGTTTGTGTTAGATGTATATCCCTCGGTCAATGCCAAGTGGATCCATTCAGTAATCCATCCTTAAAAATAACACAACATATTGTGCTCCTGACTCTCCACACACACCTCCTGCAGGAAGGTCAGAGGCAGCACTCGCCCTCCCTGTATGTTGTGTGTGTTCTCCACACATATGAGGCGTGAGCGGGGGTAGTGGGGGTCTGGGTACCCATGGCGGATCTTCGATTCTAGCTGCTCCAAGTCAAATGATCCATCGGGCAGATTGTCCACTGTGGTGGCGTGGACACCAGCAAGCTGTGGTCGACACACAAACATGCAATTAATTAATGCAATGCAGATGATAAGGAAAAATGTGCAGAGGGCCTGCCAACAGGTGGCTGCTCACTCACCTGTGCACTCCCTCCCTGCTCATAGATGTGTAAATGTGACAGATCGCCCACAATCATCTCATCGCCCCGCTCCCTGCAGTGCACCATCACTGCATGATGATACGTTTTTTATTATCATTCAGACCTTTTGAAAACCAACTCAGGCTCAATAAAACTCACCTGCTATGAGATTACTCATGGTCCCAGAGGGAACAAACAGAGCGGCCTCCATTTGAAACATCTCAGCTGCAATTTCCTGCAACTCTGCACAAATCAGAGAATTATATAACAGTCCCAATTACACACTAACTATTGGATTACTAAAACATTTCTAATGTAAGTTCAGCCGACTTTATTGGTTTTAATTGTTCTTTATTTTACTTTCAGATTCTTTGTAAAAAAAAAATTGGTATTACTTTTTTTTAAACTATTATTATTCCATAAAATAATAGCTTTATTATTATTATTATTATTATTATTATTATTATTATTATTATTATTATTATTATTATTATTATTATTATTATTATTATTATTATTATTATTATTATTATTATACGGTCCTTAAATCAAACTTACAAAAGAACGAGCGTTTAAAAAATGCATGAATCATTGTGTTCATGGTTCGGTTCTTACCGTTAACACTCGGGTCTTCTCTCATAACGTCATCTCCCACCTCGGCCTCCGCCATGGCCTGCCTCATCGCCGGCCCGGGTTTGGTCACCGTGTCGCTGCGGAGGTCCACAACCCGGACATGGGCCGCCTTGCCCGGCCCTGGTTGGCTGGCCTTGCCGCTGTTGTAGTAGCCGCGCGCGGAGCTCCGTCCCAGCAAGACAGCTGCTGCATCTCGTGCACTGAGCGTTTTTTTGGAGGCGACAAACTCGTGGTTTACAAGTTTACTCAAAACTCTGCAGGAAAACATTTTCAAAGACATGATGATGCTTCTATAACCATGTTCATGTCAAGTTTGTATTGAACTTTGGATCGTTCAGTCTCTATCGATAATCATTGACTGCAAGGAAAGCTAACAGACAACCGATCAGCTCATCAGCATGCACAGAGCAGCGAGAGCCTCAAGGTGGCGTCACGATCACAACAAAGCTAATTATAACCCTGCTGCTTTATTAACTCTGACAGTATGTTCCGAAATCTTTATACTTCATTCAAGAATTGTCATTCAAAGCTGTAGCCTTAGTATAATCCAGGCAGTGAACTCAATTATGGAGTGACTACAGTCGTATCCACAACAGACCTGCAAACAATTAAAATGTGTTGTTTTTCATATAGTTGTTGAAAAAAAGTTGTTAAATTATGAGGCTTAAGTTTCTGATGTTATTGTTGCTCCGGACTGAGTAACATTTAAAAAGGTAGGCCGACCAGAATATTAATGCTTTATATTTTGTTACTGTACATTAGTATTTCAACATGTATATTTTCTACTTTTTTATTGCTATTTTATTTCTATTTGAGATGTTTACATTGTGGATTGTTTATTTATAGTCTTTTAATTTCTCTAATGTACAATGCCTTGTCTTTTTATCATCATTTTCTATTACAAAAATGTAAAAGTAGGAATAAAATGTGATATAAAACATTGAAAAAAAAAACATTTAAAAACCTAGAATCATCAAATGTTTGGCTTTTAATGATAACAAAAAATAAATAATTCACGACTCAATTCATATATTGCTGACCCAAGAGTTAGAGAAAAGTCTTGATCACTGAAGTAGACTGAAGCCATGTTTAGCAACAGCAATAGTATTTGAAACCAATTAATACAAAGTAATTGATTTATTTTCATCACTATTTTGAAGCACCTGCATACTTGTAATTATTGAAATCAGTGATGAATACTGAACATATTAATGTTTACATATAGACACACATCCTCACTAACTTGGCTCACTTGAATGACTTTTTTTCTGCTGAAAATATACTCAGACTCCTTTAGTTTTCCCCAATTATCTTCAAGAATATGTCATGTTTCTATGTTTCAAAGTTAACTCTCACAGTGTCCTGCATGAAGTGAGTGGGGCATGCATGTGTGTAAATGTCCCTCTGTGCACCAGTGTGTGTATCCCTGGCTGTGCCAATGTCTATGATGTGTTTACCCTGTGAGATTCTTCAGGGGTCACAAACCTGCTTTTGGCTTGACCTTTATCGCTGCGCTAAGCTGTTAAGCTAATTCCACTTAGCAGTCACCCATCATCCATTTATCTTATGGTAGAGGGCGAAAAAGGAGGGGAAAGCATGCCAACAAAATCTCGACCTCCCTACGCACACATAGACATGACATGATGGCAGAGGTGGATGGTAACTAAACATTTACTCAAGTGCACTTAAAGGTGGGGTAGGTAATTTTGGAGAAACCAGCTCGAGTGCGCAAGAATTTGAAAATACACAGCCGGAAAAAATCTGCCACTTCCTTACAGAGCCCCTCCTCCAACACACACGAACGCGCACATGACCAATGAGGGCACGAGATAAGTTTGTGCACAGATGGAAGTCTGACAGGCAGGTAGGCCATCCAGTTATTTTAGCCGGGCCGGCTAAAATGATTGGTCGTGCTTTTTACAGTACTACGGCTTCCACAGATGACATTTTTTTATGGATTTTTTGTCAAAAGCACTTAAGATATTCATTGCTATCGGGATGTTAAGAGCATTCCATGGAATATAACAAAAAGTGTATCTCGAGCCGGTTTCTCAAACTTACCTACCCCACCTTTAAGTACAATTTTAAGTTACTTGCACTTTACTTTCCTTTTCATTCCAGTTTCTATGTCTATATTTCATAGGGACAAAAACAAAAGCTCAGCAAATACTGATTTCAGACGAATACAAACTAATACTTAAATATTAAATAGCATGACAGTCACAGGAGTACATTTTCAGATTTTTTATAACGATCCTGTTTAATCGTTCATCATTTTACATAAGTAACATTGCAGGGCTTTGTTTTTATAAAGTATTTGTACAGTGTGGCATAATTACATTACTTCACCACCTCATTATAAGGCAATGGGCTCGGGCCCAAACAGAATCGGTTCTATCCTCTATATTCACTTACAATCAGAGGTGGGAGAAGTACTGTACTGTACAAGTAAAAGTCCTGTATTCAAAATGTTATTCAAGTAAAATTACAAAAGTATTAGCATCAAAATATACTGAAAGTACCAAAAGTAAGAGTACTTATTATAAAAATTGGTCAATTTCAGAATAGTATATATTATATGTTCTGATTATAATCATTGATTAAAGTGTGATCAAAGCTGGTAAAGGTGCAGATAGTTTTAATAATTTTGAATGTCGGGTAGGTTGTGAATTACTTCCACATTTGAAAAGTAACTAAAGGTATTAAATGATGTAGTGGAGTAGAAGTATAGCATAACATTGAAATACTCAAGCAAAGTGCAAGTATCTCAAAATTGTACTTAAGTAGCCTACAGACAGTACTTGAGTAAATGTACTTAGTTACTTAAAACCACTGCTTACAATAAAAGCCCCAGCTACCTCATGCCTCCTGGAATAAGTCAGTATTTGGAGGGTAAGGCTTGTGGGAATGTATCTGCCATGGACTGAGATTAGGCAATGAGGGAGGTGCACCCATAACAAAACATCTCCCTCCTCCCTCTGACACTCACTTTCTTTCCCTGACCCACAAATCTACATCCACACACCCCTCCCCTCACACACAGTTCCCACTCACATGCTTATGCTGTCTTGTCTGATGTTAATCACTCGATAAAAGTCCCAGTGTGTGTTATCAGGACCGCACCGCTGTAGTTAAAGTTCATATTGCCAGTAACAGAGCCAGGCTTTTATGAGCCATAACAAGTCGTCATTAAAAGTCATTAGCAAACATCAGCCCCGTAAAAAGGCCACAGTGGGTCTCGGGAGCCCCACAAGAGCCGTGAACGGAGAGAGATACAGATGTAAGCAACACAGGGCAGCGATGAGGAGCTGATGAGAGGAAGAAAGTGAGGAGACGAGGAGGACTTTTTTCCGGGATCACTGCTGGCTCCTGTAACCTCACACTTTCACCATGCGAGTGTGTGTGTTTTGTTTCTCTCAAATGCCTTCCAGCATTCCTTGCCGAGCGTGGAGAGGAGAGAGTGGTGTTTTGGAGAAAATATTGAATTAGAGAAAAAAAAGAGGCAGAGAGGGAGAAATGAAGGAGAGGGAGAAATATTGACTCCTTCTGGGAAGGAGCGAGACGGCAACGCCTTTCCAATAACCATAAACCCACTGGGCTGAAAATAGACGGGCCGAATGAATAAACGAATGTGTTCATCCCACATGAGCTCTTCTCTTTCAAAGAAGGAGGGGATTGGAGGTGACCCCCCCCCCCCTCCTCCTCCTCCTTCCCTTCTCTCTCTCTCACTCCTCTTTCACTGAGGCCATCATTTCTTCACCATGACGAGAGATATTAACCGGAACAAAACAGGTGTTTATGGGAAGCCTTCCCTCAAATGAGGTTTCTCATACGCGCACAAAGACACACACACACACACACACACACACACACACACACACACACACACACAAACACAAGCACACACTTGGCTCTGCAGTGTAAAGGTGTCGACATCACTGCCATGCCAAACAAGAGTAACATCTGTTTCACATTTCACAGCCCCCCCCCCCCCTTCATAATGTCATTGGCCATGAGGACGCGCTTTACTTTACACACACACACACACACACACACACACACACACACACACACACACACACACACACACACACACACACACACACACACATGCTTTAAAGATGCTATGAGGCTTAATTCCTTCTTTTTTTAAGAGCAGAATTTGGGTATTTATCTGTCACATGGACAACTGAACATTACACCCATATGTAATTGTTGATGATATCATTACTGCAGGGATTTGATTGGCAGATGTGCACCAAGTAGCTCCTGTTAGTTTGGCTACTCGAGAACCTGTTTCTTCCTCAGACTTCTAATACTTTGAATAATGTCTGTTTGAACGTTACATATTTCTTTGATGCATCACATGTCCTATAAGGAAGCGAATAAATTATCTATAGAAAGAATATTCCACATTAACTTACAAACAAAATTTCTGGCATATTGGCTACAAATAGCGTAAAAAAACACATCGTTTTTAACAAAGATTTTAGATATTTATCTTTCTCCATCCAAATTCTATGGCAGTGAATGGATTTTCTTTAGTGGTCCTCTGAGTATTGAAAAATGACATTTGAAAAATCACTTCTTGCTTGCACTGAGCTCGCACTGAACTTAAATAGTCCAAATGAAAATGGATGGATTATAGTAATCAGAAAATTGCCTCTAGAAAGACACAAAGGAGTGCTCCGAGTGAATTTAATCCACTTCCATATAACACATGAATTATATACCACTTGTGGTAAATGAAAACTTTTGTTTCGTAATTTGGACGAACTGTCCCTTCAAGCATCGTGGTGAAGAGAGGAATTGTTTGACAGTATGAGGCAGGGTTAACCAGACCATCAAGATTACCCGCTGTAGTAATCAGCTACAACCACTACTGCTGTGTGCACTCATTCATCTCATCCTTCATTCATCCACTCACTTCTCTTCAATCAGTCATTTCTCATTTGGTTCATTCAGCTGTAATTATATACCATGAACCACATGTACAATTCACTTCCGAGAACAGACGCATCTGTCTTTTTTAGACCTTTTCTCTTCAACATTCATTTAGCAGACCTTCAGTTCACCCCTCGCAGCGTTCCTGTCTCCCTCCTGACCCTCTTTTCCCTCCTCCTCTTCTTCATCCTCCATTCCCACATTGCCCACTCCTCTCTCCCTGTCTCTCTCTCACTCTCTGGGAAGTCATGTGACTTCTCTGCAGCTGAGCCCTATAAACCAGCAGTACTTGGGGGGCTCAGTGTCTTTACAGCTCTGTGATTGGCTCTTGCATTC